AAGTCATCACCGGGATGAGATTGGATTGGACCGTGATGATGAGCGAGTCCACTAAAGAAGCTTAGGAGACCTCGTGATCCCATTCGATTGATGTGCCACACGACTGCAGCATAGTCCGATCGAATCAAAACTTTGGTTGATTATAACAGGTGTTGCCAATGAGAGATCGCAAGAATCACTGCCCTGAGCTCCAAAACGTTGATGTGACCTGCACAGTCTGCGGGAGATCACAGCTCTGCCACCTGCTGATCGAGAAAGTGAGCTCCCCACCCGTGTAGAGAAGGCGTCTAAGTACAGGTGATGTACTGGAGCAAATGGCCTTAAAGAGACTTCGATGCAAACATTCAACACGTCCAAACACCACTGGAGATGGCAATGGAACACTGGAGAAAGAAAGATCAATGCGTGAGGTCTGCTATCGGAGTGGGGGCAGAGGTCAGGTGGTCAGAGTCCAGGAAGTTTTGATTCAACTTAGCCTACAACACGTTTCCACACATGGTCGTAGAAGAACAAGAGAGGTGCATACCGTGAGATAGGACAAATTTAAAAATATAGATTGTTGGTTGAAACAAACCTAAAATCTGATTTGACAACTTTCAAGAATCCAAAACTTGACCTTGGCATAAATGGCAACACTTAAAAAGCCACTAAACATGTGCTGAGCCTCAATACAATCGGCACACGTTCCATAGTTTTCCAATATTTGTAGTGAGGTAAGGTGAACTACTTTCCAAGATCTTTGTTCTCATATTACAATGTGTCTGACTCCACATGACTGCCTGTACTAGTCAGGACTACTGCTGGTTTTACAATGGCAGCTCAGTCAGATACCAGGAAGCAGTTTAACATGGACACCCTGCTCAGTACACAAACTATAAACTGACTAATCTTTGTTGTATGCCCATGATTGGTTCAATCCACTGACCTTCAACTCTCCGGACGCTCTATTCATTTGTCCGGTGGCTGTTCATTACAGTTTGTACTAAATCGGCATAATATTTGCCCAAAATATAGCTACTCAATATTGCAGCCATATCGTTAATTGTACTCAAACATCCCCATCAATTTTGGGTGTCATCATTGGTAGGAACAAGCATGTGAAGCTGCCAGCTTCATCTCGAATAGTTTCATGGAAACTGATGTTCAGTCATCATGGAGATAAAAGAGGCTAACCATTAGAACATGGCTTATAACTTTCACACACATATTTCAAAGTTTCCATACCCTTACTCAACCGTGTCTATTTTTTCAAAACATGTAAATCGTGAGACAACAGATACTGAATACTGTTAGTTCTGACAAATATGAAGCCAATCAAAAAATATATATAACCAGATAAGTAAGTACATATGAATTCAAGAAAATGTTATAAAACTATCTGTTGACATTGGAGATGTTTGTTTACTTTTCTTTAAAAACGATATTCTTGAGTTTCAATTCAAACAAGAACAATCAGTGCTTATGACACATGATTAGTTCTTATAACTTTCGTAAGATTAAATATATCATTCTGTTTCATTTCTTTGTTGTTTAGTGCGACACTAAGCAGTATTCCCGCTACATGACATTGGTCTGTAAAGAAATGTATGGACCGTACAATCCTGTGATTGACATCATGAAAATGCATCCAGAAAATTGGAACCAACCGAGAAATTGAGGTCTGATCTAGTTAGTCACATCTTACAAGAATAGGTTACTCAGGAACTGTTTTCTAATTGAAGGAATTGTGTTTCTGTATCACGAAAACCAGGAGAATTTTTGTGTCTGTCCAGATCAGTTCAGAGTAAACCTTGGAAACATTCATAACAAGTTGACTTTAAAATCACAGCAACCAGAAATATCAAATTGCCAATTCCCAAATCGTAGTCCACAAAATGCTTGTGATACTTGCTACAATGTACCATCTTGTCTTGATAAAACCAGATTTGATGTTCAAATTGTGTGAATGCATTACCATCCATAACAGGCCATCCTGAGTTGTTGACATATCAAAACAATCATCTAAAACCTAGAAAAGTTTTTTTGAGGTCAAAATGTTTGAGGTAAATAGGATGATGAGCATATAAAACACATACATTTCATTTTGAAGTATCATTTGTTCCTGCTTATGGGCAGTAGAACCTACAGACAGACCATGTTGACAGCATCTATAAAGCCACTGGCTGAAGCTGTAGGCAGGCTGTGTAGGTAGAATCTACAGGTAAGCCCATAAGGTGAAGCTGAAGGCAAATCGCACAGGTTGAACCTGTAGCTAAACTCATGGGTTGAACCTATAGGAGTAACTGATGGGTTGAACCTATAGGAGTAACTCATGGGTTGAACCTATAGGAGTAACTCATGGGTTGAACCTGTAGGTGAACTCATGGGTTGAACCTATAGGAGTAACTCATGGGTTGAACCTGTAGGTGAACTCATGGGTTGAACCTGTAGATGAACTCATGCGTTGAACCTATAGGAGTAACTCATGGGTTGAACCTATAGGAGTAACTCATGGGTTGAACCTAAAGGAGTAACTCATGGGTTGAACCTATAGGTGAACTCATGGGTTGAACCTATAGGAGTAACTCATGGGTTGAACCTGTAGGTGAACTCTTGGGTTGAACCTGTAGGCAGAACCTGTAGACAAGAGCTCCACAGTGATCTGACATAAGAGAAACCCCACTCAGTAAATAGTCTAACTTTAACCATTACAACATTGAAGTTACAACAAGTAAAACAACATCAGTGGAATAACAAAGTAACTAGAAAGTGATGTTACAGATTCAATCTGGGGAGTACCAGGATACACAAGATGTACTTTGGTTATTCTGTGTCCTCAAATGAACTTGTCACATGGAATTCATTTTCTAATTTCTCTGCCAACTCTTCAAAACTGTAGTTACAAATCTCAAAAATTATATTTTTTTAAAAAAATATTTGTCACATAAAATGTTTAGACCTTCCAAGAGTGAACAGAATTATCTCCCTTAACAGTAAATAATAACAGACACAACCTTCACACTTCTGCAACAAGCTAAAAGGGCATAAAGAATTAGTTCTTTCTCTTTAAAAAATTCATTCGCAGACACAAACCACTTGAAAACAAATTGAAGAATCGTATGGATACTCACATAGTATATTTTCCTTTTCAACACTGATGACAAATTCCTTTAAGGTGGACATCCTTAAAAACTGGATTTCTATTTCCTTAATTTTTCAATATAAAACAACAAGGTGATGACTATCACCACTGTGATAAATATGTATATCTTGGAACCCATAATCCTAAGCAATATAATCATGTTCTTCTCGTTTGTTATGACATAAAGCTACTTGGTATGAAGGTAACAGCATCTGTACCAAAACATCACGGTAATGGTTTGACCCTGAAGCTACAAGGTCAAGGACTACAGTCCCCATTTCATCCAGAACAATTCTACATCCTACAATACGAAGCAACATTTACACAAACTGCTACAAGCATTTGTATTTGCATATGGGTCAATACCAGGCCTACAATTCAAGCATTGACTCCTCTGCATATGCAATGACCATCTTGGCCTGAAAAAACTTTCATTAAGTCAGGCCTCCATCAAGGAAACAAACTGTAAACAACCCAAACATTCTGCTCTTCACTTTTTAAGTGAGTAGGAGGGTTTGGTTTAACACTGCTTGCAAATGTGTTTCACTAAAATACCTCAGGTCATTTTGATGAAAGAGGAAAGATCAAGTGTCGCAGGTCTTTACTCCACAAGCATGGGTAAAGAGGTGGTAAAGCCATAAAACTAAAGGGTGAATCTGGGATTCAAACTGAGATCATAGGTACCTGGCACGTACAAGGGAGGCAACTCTGTGCATTGTTTGAATGACATGTACAAGGGAGGCAACTCTGTGTATTGTTTGCTAAGGTTACACAACACCAAATGTTTTCCCATAGACTTCTATAGTAACGTTATATTTTTTCTTAAAATTATCCCGTGTTTACAAAGCCTCTGAAGCCCAAGATCTCGTAATTTTCCTCGTAGCATTCCTACCTCCTATACTGTAACATTGACTTACGATAGTTGTATCGCTACGAGAGACTTGTGAAACAGGGCCCAGGCTTTTAACAGCCATTCCATGTACACATGGGTACAGTCTGGCCTTTAAACAAAAACACACATTCCATCTAACTTAACCTGCCAATTATCCGATCTCAGGAAGCTGAACACATCAACCCCAGTTCCACACCAATGTCACCTACTTGAAAATATCTGTACACACAATAAGCATAAGTCATGGTGATAAAAATGACAGTACTAAATACTTAAAATTGTGGTAAGTTTTAATTACTGGATGGATGTGCTTTTAGAAAACATAAACATGTTACACTATTTCATCTAATCACAGCTGTCACATATCTCTATCTGACCTGATGTTTGCACACAACACTGGCTCAGTGAGCAAGTGATTCTGATTTAATGTAGTAGAGCCCTAAGCTTTGATGACTGGACCTGCCCCCACGTGCTTGTCATGGCATTCATATGCTAAATGCAATACAGGCTATTATAAAATATATTACTTGAAGTAACATGCATGCTGAAGGAGAGAACTGGTCTCCCAGAACATTGGCTTAAAATCTTTAACATTAAAAACATTTACAGCAAAGATGTTTCTGTCAGTTCAATCATAGTATATGAACACAGTAGACTGACACACCACTTCAGGTCAATGTGACCATACCCAAGTTGTATGTCCAACTTCAACCTGATATCTACTGGTATACTAAGATCAGCTCAATAATTGTCTATAAACTAAAGAACATGACATACTAATGGGGATGTACATTGATACATCAATGCATCGATACTTTTTCTAAGACGATACAATTATCTATACAATCAAACCCTGTATCGATATTTAGTTTTGAAAGTATTGGCTTTAAATATGTTTATGTATCGCTTACATTTTGCAATTGTATCATGCTTTTTGATGTTTTGAGAGTTATAAATGATTATTTTCCATGCACAAAGATGGGAAATAAGAACTCTTAATCTCTGAGAATCAAAAATGTTTATCTTTTTCATTGACAATTATATAATATGAAACATTAATGTTCAAAAATGTAACTAAATTCTCACGCACCTAATCGTGATTATGGGTATCGTGGATACATATCGATTCAAGAAAACTTATGTATCGCGGACATCCCTACATAATAGTAATACAATTTCATGCAAGTGGATTTTAGGTTTTGGCACAGGCTGACAATTTAGAATTTGACATAATTGAAAATATATGGCTAGGGTCAGCATTGTTGGGGTATATTTCAAGCAGCAAACACACATGGCTTAATAGTCTCTACAGGTCAATAATACCAGTGTCGACACCGAGTGGGATCTGACAACCCATAGTCAAGGAGACATAACTCTGCTTGCTGGAAACACTGGATCCATTTACCCAACATGATAATGAACAATGAGAAAGGAGGAAGAAAGACAACAAAACGTGTCATGTCATATCATTATCAAAAGACAATGTAATGTACAGAGGCCTACATCCAACAACTTAAGTCCAAATATATCATATTTATGCAAAAATGGATTTCACATATGTAGCAACAAGAAAATTATCTTCAAACATGTGCTTTGCAGATTCATAGAGGATTCTAAACTAAGTGCCTATGCAAACAAACTTGGAAATAAATCACAATTGTGCAAAATTGGGAATTTTCTAAACTTCACAGAGGTATTACATCAAAGTAATTATACATCAATGCCTCTCTTTCTATTCTTCCTGTTCTCAGTGAAATACAGCTCTTCACTTCTACAAAGCCCTACTGTTAGCTTTTGTTCTATACTGATGTTAAAAGTGAAAATGTACATTCCACTTTTTTATGATATTAGCTCCGGATTCCGGGGCCAAATATCAGCCTATGACAACACCCACATATGTCCCTGTATGCTTGATAATAAAAGCTGTGGGTGGGTTGGGTTTGTAATGTTTGCGACAATTACATCAACAATGGGTGATTTGTGCATTGTTACTGCAGGGGTGGAAATAACCCATTGCCCGACGTCCGAGTCCAGTGTTTTTTTCTGTCAGGCAAGCAAATTTGTGAATCACACTGTACCCGTGTCCAGTTGACTTTCCAATGTTAATTATGTTGTTTATTTTAAAAAATCAACAAGAAAACGGATGGAATAGTGGGAAAATTATCACGGCAAGTGATTTTACATGTGCCACTGTTCCGGAGTACACTGGCAATTTTAAAGTTATTTCCACCCCTGCCTAGCAAATGCATACAACTGTCAACTTTGTGAATGTACATTTATACTGTTGGATTAACACATACTAAATAATTAGCATCAACGTTTTGACAATTTGTCCTGCTATAATGAACATATTTCCTTTCAGCTGCCATTATGTCACCTTCAACTACTCATTATAAGCATCAGATACTTGTCTACACAAGGGAGGTACGTTTGAAAAATAAGAACAATCATAAATGGTCTGATTTTACCTTGAAAGTTATCTTAGGATGAAGTTCCTCCCCTGATATTATGTCAAGGCATATACCAATCATCAAAAGGTTAGTGAGTGAGTCTGTCATGTCAGTATACAACCATAGTGACAGGCAGTGTTGATTTCATCAACTCACATGTCAATTTTGAAGTCAAGATGTCAGCAATTCACATCTTTTGTTACAAGCCTTATTATGTATTTAGAGATGAACTACAGCAGTATATAATCAAACAAAGTAACACTTTAAGTTTGAACTATAGTCACGGTAACACTTTGGTTTTCAAAGTAAGATCGAAGAACATACATAATAAAGTTGGATATTTCTTTTCAAATAACATGTTTATATCATTGTATGTTTCATGTAAGTATCAGTAGGACACTGTCAGCATGTTTGTGCACATTGCAAAGTGAATGTTGAACGTAACTATTACAGTAAATGTGCCACAATCACCAATCATTAGTAACTTATTGTACAAGTCAGATCCATACATGTGTGTAGGTATCGAAAAGAAAACAGTAAGTAGGTCGTTAATCATTTCAACATCTCATTTCAATTGTTTTATGTCACATATAAATTTATATCTCCTGACATTTCAGTCGACCTACAGCAACCCATTGATTCATTCCAGTGGTTCCTGCACTGTCAAATTACCCACCACTGACTTCCATCAAGACTCTACCAACCAATCTTGGGTGCAGATAAGGAATAGGGACATAGGTAAGGGTGTACTTGCAACCACCATTAACTATAAACATGGAGATACCTTTCCATCTTAACAGTTTCTTCTTGTTAGTGCGAGTCTTTCAGTGTTGAATTTGTCCCAAACTTCATCACTGTCAATGTTGTTGGTAATACCACCCCAACACCGAGTCTGGTTTGTAATGCATTGTGGTCTGTCTGTTAGATCGACATGCATAGCAAATTTAAATGAAACACAGGAAGTCAAGGGTAGATAAGATTGCAAGAGCTAATGAAATGAATCCATGGTGGGGTTGGTGGAGGTTTAGTGAGTGGAGTGAATGAGGAGTGAATGAGTGAGTTGGGCTTTTATGCCGCTTAGCAATATTCCAGCAATATCAAGGCCTGGGGACACCAGAAATGGGCTTCACACATATAACCATGTTGGGAATCAACCCGGCCTTCGGCTATGACGAAAGCAAACGCTTTAACCACTAGGCTACCCCCATCACCCCGTGGAGGTTTAGAGGATATATACTGAAGAGATACATGTAGACAAGTAACACCAAGTAAATATCCCCAAACACTGGGCAGATACTTCCATGCTACATGTGAACAATCCTTCATCAAGCCCCGGTAAGTGACTCAACTGTAAATACTCAGGTAAGTACTCAGTGTTGGGATTTGGTTGAAATCTTATAATTGATGATTGGTTCATCACAAACCATCAATCATCGGGGCAAATAATTGGTTAGCCGCCATTTATCAGATCTTCTCCTGTTATGTTTTGTTAATACACAAAGGTTTGGTTGTTTTTTTTCAAATTGCAGAAAAATCCAAAATGCAAATTTCACATCTTTAAAGGATTACTAGTATGTTAGGAAACATAAATTCCAGGAGCTCTATAAGATAAATTCAATCATGACTTGGGAGGAGCTTTAGTGCTTGTGAAAAATATTGTTAATGCAAACAAGTTATTCCAAACCGTTAGCTACATTATGATAAAATGCAATTGACTGTTTGTATCACGCTTACTCACTATGGACTCAATCTTCGACATTTCAATTAATCGACCACCACTAGTAAGTACTCAGTAATCATGTAACAGTCTCATGAATTACAATTCAGAAATAACCAACAACAAACCTATCTCTTGAACAAGTGAGGTGCACATGAATCACACCAAGGTCCATATGTATATCATAGTAGCCCATCTCAACCACTGTAGCGCTGCCTTGAGCACTTGGTGCCTCAAGTGGTCACTTCATCTGTTAAGATAAAATGTCTGTTTCTGCAATCTCATGTAATATATCTGTGCTATGGTGATATCAGTCAGTTGTAATGCATATCCTGTCACTGACTATCCTTAGGAAACTGATATCAAGGTGTTGATATCAACATACAAAAGGTTGATGCCATTTCTGATATCCATGATTGAGGTGCTTGATATTCATCGAATGTGTGTGATATATACATGTTGATACCAACAGAGTTGTTTGATATCAGCAGCATCTGAGTTCAGTTTTATATCCATATTGATTAAGCTGATATCCATGCAGAGGGATTCTCAATATTCACAATAAGAGAGTGTGCATGATAACACATACATTGATGCTTGATACAAGATTTCCTTGATATCACCTTTGAGCTCTTGATATCCATGTTGAGTAGGTTGATATCCATCTAGTATTGATATCCAAATGTTCTGACAACAATATTCAATATGTCGACATCAACATGCAGCTGGTTGACAAATACAGTGTCTTGCTACCTATATGGAGCTGGCTGATATCCATTTACTACTGCTGAAATCTGTGTCTGGCCAATACTTGGTAATATAATACTCTTACAGTCTATTGCACACACCAATTGTAGGCATTGAGGAACATCCGAATCCATGGTGAATATGTGTTGTCCTCCCGCCATTCATACGGCATCCACGGACACTGCCACGTGAGGAAGCATCTCTCTGGGTTGGGCATTATTGCCAGATGGCGGCCATCTTGAGAACACACGGCTGCGATCCCATCTGGAGAACCATTGGGGTTGAGAGGGTAGCTGGTTGTCGCCACCATCATCATTGACGCAGAACGGACTGGCTTAAGGTTGTTGGAGAGGATGTCAGATGTATGCCATCTTGTCTTGAATACCATTTTGCCTAGAATGATAAATGTTACAAAATTATCAATTCTTTAGAATGTAAGACCGAAGTTTTACCCTTCATTGTTTCCCACCAAAACATCTAGAGACAAGATGGTCCAGTTGACAAGTGATCATTGGTTTTATCTTGATTATATTAGGTTTGTCCTGATTAGTGTATTTGGTTTTTCCAGTGCCAAACATATATCCTGGATTTCACCTAAAATGGGTAAAATGTAAGCCTTCATCACTTTGGGGTAAAGATCCTATGTTACGCTGACATGAGATTCATTTAATCGATAAACAGGTAAAGAACAAACCATGCAAGAATGATTCTGATGACCAGGGCCCTTATTCGCGAAACGTTTGTAGCCCTAAGAATTCTTAACTTTGATTAAAGCAACTGTGATAAGAATGGGCTTAAGAAGTTCGTAGGACTATTTAATGTTTCGAGAATTGCTAGCCTGATCCCTATCTAAGTTGCCGTCTACAAGGAGGATGAATTACTGAGGATCCAACTGGCATGGAAACCCCCAGACAGACAAGCATGAAATACTCACATACCCATGACAAGCATCAATTACACACACACAAACATATGAACCTACTTGACACTCATAGCATCAGATATTGGGGACCTTCATCTGAATCCCTATTTTGTGGGTTTCAATCACCTCACCATGAGACACCCACATGCCTAATGTGGTCCCTCCATCCCAGTAAGCATGACTGCCGGGCTCTCCTGTACCTGCACTGTCACTTAAGCTGGACTCAGAGAGGCTGGAGGCTGTTGTGGTCCAGCAGTAGACCCTGCTCACTGCACTTCTTCTGCAACACGATCAGGACTACACTTATATGGGTAAATGTAAAACAGCTGATTTATGACTGATTTAACATATTTTATTAATGATGAGGGTGAGGTGAAATTGGGTTTAACGCCGTATTGAGAATATTTCGTACCATATGACGACGCGGCATGCTCTGTGTATGTGTATAAAGTGCTTAGTTGCTTGTGCACTAGCCCAGACTGAAGCTGGTTTTACAGTGCTAGCCCACTGAGATACCATGCCGTGAGTGGAAGGCCACGAATACTGCACTCAGACACATTATAACCGACTGAAGTTGGATCTCAGTCCTTGTTAATATCTTCCATTAATGCCGAAAGCACCAGGTGGCAGGGGACCAACTGCCACCATATTTTAATGTCTTTGGTATGACGCTGGTCGGGAATCCTTTATTCATGAGAGGAAAGGATTGGGCATAAGTTATCCATCTGAGAAAAAGCCATTTCCCTGCAGTGACCTGGATATATTGGCAGTATAAACAAACAGTGGCAAGAAACAAGAAAACGCATAGAGAGGAAATAATAAAAGGAGATAAATGCAACAGCACAGGTTTCTTTATTAGATTCTGACATGGTGAAGAATCGGTGATTTTCCCAGGCTGCCAAAGCTCATTCTTTTTCCATATCCATGATTACTTTCTTTATCACAAGAAAATATGCAGAATAAGCATGTATTTTTTCTATGGAAAATCTTAAAATGTTTCTGCAGAAATCTCTAGGAACTTTGTGGGTATTTCTAAGTTTGATCTAAGTTTATTTGACAAATAAAATTGGCCCAAATTTTATGCCAAAAACATTTTTCTGAAAGCATGACAAAAAAGACAAAATGATTAAACAGACTTAACCCACAAAAGACAATTGATGACAATGGATGTAAATCTTTCATTAGCTTAATCTTTCAAACAGATGCTGGCCGAAAGTATTTGGGCCAGAGTGACGCCACCCGACTGACCTGGTGCCACCCATCCCAGGAGCTTCATCAGCTGGCAGCCACCACAATACACCCAGGCTTTCAGAAGAAGTATCGATCGGCATTAGTCGCCGAACTGCTCCTTTTGATTGTCAGATTGAAGATAGCTGCTGCAGCTCAGCCTGGCACATAGAGTCTATATGTTTCAACATACACTAATAGATGCCTTTATTTCACAGCATATTCTTACCCGCTTAACCAAATACCATTTTAGTAAGACTGTATATTCTTTTCTCATGCATCAGGTAAGTTTCACCTCTTTGAAAGTAACTGTGCAAAGGCTGAGAAATCACCTTATCAATCTGGATCCAAACCCGGAACTCACTCCAACCTCAAATGCACACATATTATGTAAATGAAACCTGTGTGACATAAAGTGCACAGATTTTGTCCCTTTGTGAGATCAACACAGTGTTATGAATTCATTATCACTTTAGCTATTCTTGAAAGAAACAAAAATATTCATATTATGTACTAATTCGCTTCTGTTCACCAAAGAAAAGGGGTACCTATGTGGGACAAAGTGATGTGGACTTTAATTACCGCCATACAGGCAGTTTGGGTTATCCTAGTAATGATAACTGTGATTGTATGGATGGTTCAAACATGCATGTGGAGCAATGCACACACATAAATGGACTAGCTATTATTATTTATTATATATGTATATACCAGTAGTCTCCCGAATTCCCAATGTTTAGGGACTGGAAGTCTATATCTCAGAGATGCTAGGCCAGTATCATGAGTATAACTACTAAATCAAATTAACAGAAAAAACAAACTTCATAATAACGTATTATGTTAAAATTTGAACTTTTAAAAGGGACTCTGTTGTTAAGTGAGCAAAGTGAGGAAATATAACCTTCATCAACAACAATGATACCTTTAGCTGAACCCAATACATCTGCATAGCTGAAGCCCCCAACAAACACCAGCCCACGGAATGTGTCCAGGTTGATCTTGCCATCCTGCAGGTCCTGCATGTTGACGTCCCACACCTCGAACCCAGCTGACATGAACGCTGCACACATCTCAAGGGTCACCATTGCTGTCTCCCTCCCTCAACACAGCCACCACCTGGCAGGATGACCTGAGCATGCAGTGCAGAAAACATTGTCAGACAATAAGGGCAACATTTTCTGCCAAGTCTAAACATCAAAACACACTCTTGTAATTTCAACCAGATCAAGTCCAGATTGAGACCAGACAGGACCAGGCAATCCAGTGATTACTGATTCAAACTGTCAATGACATGCATTCATCCAAAAACATGGCATCTAGAAACCCTGTCCATTGTGATTGGCATATACTTCTGGTGACCAATTCCAACCCAGAAATGCCCACAGTGTTATTATCCATTTGGTTCTATGTGTGCTGCCCTGTGTTTCCGCCATGTTTTTAGCAGCTGGACATTGTGACTGGCTAACATTTGAAATACTAGTCATTTTAAATCTTTACCAGTGAAGTGTTACGCTTCTTCTTGTGCATGAGGCCTTGCACCCTAACAACCAATCAAAAATGTAGAGGATATCGTGAATGCTGCCACAATGCTAATTTTATTTAAGCCTGGGTTTTTCCAAAACTGCTATTTTTTATTTGATTGGGAACAACTCTGACATGTGTCATTGTGAAAACTTAATCTTTCTCGAGGAGAAATACAATTGACAGGGTAAATAAGAAAATGATTTAAAATTTGTTGGACACGATGGTCCTACAGCCTTTGAAATTACCGGACATCTAACTTTGTAACCGGCCAAAGTCTGTTAAATACCGGATAACAGAAACACCTGTATGTCATCATTCTGTGTGACTCTACCCAGTTCTTTTGTTGATCTCTGATGTCATCGCCTGGGCAGAAGGGGATAGGGCGGAACCCAAGAGACCTGAGACCTCCTCCTCCTAAGCCTAAACAGTGTGGGGTTGGCCTGAGACGCCTCCAACTGGAAACTGGTTCCTCCCAGACGCCTCCTCGCAGCAATTCATCATCGACTCAGTCAAGACTCTCATCATTGACGCTTGATTACAATCTGTTGAAGAATAAATAAGTTAGGACATCCATTGATTGTTGTTGGTTGGTTTCTAATGAGGCACTCCTATTACTTCAACAATTACATTTGCATAAAATTATGAAATACACAACGCCATTTAGAAAGTGGTCAAATGTAACATATACTATATTTGGGATTACTCTTCTTTCGTAGCTACAGATTGTAGTAATATTGTTGGATTGAGTCCCATCCGTGATTTGGAACCCACACCCTCAGAGTCAGGCACCAAATCACCAGCACACAAAGTCAGGGACGCCTAGACCGCCTCTGCCACCAAGGCTTGTGGGAATTTATATAGTATAAATTGGATGTAAGAATGTGACCTAGATGAACAGGGTTTGACTGTGAAGAGCATCAAGAAGCAGATGTGCTATAAACACAGGATTTTGATTCCTGGAGTGATGAGGAGGAGGAGTGATGGAGTGGGAGTGATTAGGAGCGAGGAGTGAGTGAGTGAGGAGGAGTGAGGAGGAGTGAGTGAGTGAGGAGTGAGTGAGCGGAGCGGAGCGGAGTGAGTGAGGTTTCATGCCAGTTTTGTGCAATATTCCAGCAATATCAAGGCAGGTTACACCAGAAACCACATTGTACCTGAAGTAGGGAAATCCAACCATCCGAATCCTCAGCATGACACAAGAATTCCTACTCAGTCTCTTTTCATTCTGAACCCATGAAGATGCGGGTTAGGATTGATTCTTCATTAATCCCATGCTTGTCATAAGAGACAACTAATGGATCTGGTGGTCAGGGTCCACTTGATATGGTTGAAAATTGTCATCGTGATCTCTCAATATACGTAATCGACGCCCATGCTGTTGATCACTGGATTGTCTGGTCCGGACTCAATTATTTACAGAGCACCGCATATAGCTGAATATTGCCGCAGTAGCAGTATAAAGTCCTAATTTACTCACCACTCATTATGAGCTGCACTAAAAGGTCAACTCCATCAGCCAAACAGTCTCACCCTATTAGGCAAGTACAGTCTTACCTTATCAGACAAAGCCTTGGATCGCCATCGGGGACGATGGTACATTCTCTCATCATCAAACATTTCAATAACTTCCTCATCCCCGTCCGACCTCTAGAATCACAATTCAAGGTCTCTTCACAGAACAGGAAGTCGACAACCTCATCTGGAACACAACCATATCCTACTACCACAACATAGAACATCATGAATGAATGCTGCAAGCATTTCCTTCCTTCCACAGAAGAAATGATAAAAATATCTCCAAATTATTGATCAGATATAACATGCATTATTGCAATGGGAAATGTTTGGGTATTTTTGTAAAAAATTGCATTTCAGGAATATCAATCATTCCAAAGGAGTACCTGGTTTCCAGTTAAATTTCACTAATAAAATTGAGAAACTACTTGGTTAACATGAACAATGTTCACTAAGATAACTGTGTATCAACACAGCCAAAAGACTAGCAACCCACGCTGTCTTAAAAACAGCAAACAATATGCATAGAAACATCAATAAGTAGCAAACACATAAAACAACTGTGGATCATGTGACTTTATTCTATAGTGATTCAGACTCTTCCAAAAAAGAAACTTGACATGCTGCTTTGGAGTTTACTTACTGAGTGCATATAACTGATCCAAACATGACATCATTGCTCAGTTACAGTAAAATCAGCACTCTAGCAAATTCCAAAACATCGACATCCAGAAAGTGTTTGGTAAACCACAGAGGCTAGTGAAAGCCACTTCATTGCCTAGTAAATGTCAGTATATCCAGGTGACCACCATGAGCATTGATAACAGCTTGCAATTGGAAGCTTAACGGCCCATAGAAGAAAGGAGTGATTCAAACGCCGTCTCAGAGGAATGTTTTGATACCTTTGCTGAATCACGCTGAGTGCAGTTCTTGTAGTGTCTGAGGTGGCGGATTACGCTGCGCAAGCGACCGCTCAAGAGTATCCCATAGATGTTCAATGGGGACAAATCCGGTGATCGAAGGCCAAGGTAATAACTGAACACTGTTTTTGCTGGATGCAAGACCTGTCAGAACACGCGTAACGGAGGCCGAAAGCATGGTCATGCTCCAAATATCACGCTGATGTAGGAAACGCTGGACGCTGAACTGGTCTTCTGGCAAAATCCAGGCTTTCACAGCCCATTGTGCACCGTCCGGTCGTGGAGATCCGGAGCAGTCCAGGATTTGGACTGTTGTGGATGATGCGCCCTGGTGCTTTGAACGAAAACAGTTCCCAAACTAGATGTAGCTAATCCTGGGCTGCTGCGGTTAACTCCAGGTCGACCTGACCTTTGGTCTGTCATTAACACTCCCAGCTATTTTGCATCGGGTCCATAGGTTTGAGATGGTCTGGTCTGGACACGCTTGAGGTGCCTTGCCACATCATGCTGCGATGTCCATCCTGCAAACGGCCGGCGGCGCTGTGTCGCTGGAGCTTCTCATCAGTGTTTTTATTCTCGTAAGTCGCCTATAGTGGCTTTTACAGCAATGCATGAGGAGTACCATTAATTGATGTGGCTTTTAAAGCCTACAGTCATAGGCTTCAGCTCAGGGTCATACACAATTTCATGATACTCGTGCGTTTCATGTTGGATGCGTTTTTGCGATTCACTACAGACGTGAGTGTAACGTTACGTTTCTTTGTTTCAATGTTTTGTCATCGGCAACCATTCCCCCACATGCTGGGATTCAGCATGGATTGGTTTGGGTCCAATGTCAAGTTTCTTTTTTTAAAGAGTATATTTACAGCAACAAACAAAACATTGTTTTTTTCAATTTGAGTAGAATCAGTGTTCAGTGGTGCTCATAGACCCTACAGGCTTTCAAGACATGTTCGAACTGTGAAGATCAGGGTTAGAATTGGTCTTCAGCAACCCATGCTTGTCGTAAGAGGCGACTAATGGCATCGGGTTGTCTTGGTTGACACGTGTCAATTTATCCCAATTGCGTAGATTGATGCTTATGATGTTGATCACTGTATTGTCTGGTCTGGACTTGATTATTTAGAGACCGACGCCATATAGCTGGACTATTGCTGAGTGCGGCATTAAACACCAAAACCAGCCAATCAAGAAATGTTCAAAATTTAACGTTGACAAATGCATTTATAAATCCCAATACAGCCTAGAAATGTGTATCACTTTCATGCACATTCTTGAAGCATAAACTTTTTTCTTAACACATAAAGAGTTGTTATTATTTTTTAAGAAATCAATAAGTTTATCAAATCACATTTTAATAAAAACTGCCTGTCAGTTTGTAATAGACAACAATGGATGACATCCTTTCAATAAATCGTTTAAACTACGACTTGCAGTGACTGTTGTGTTAGACATACACCTAATGTTTCATACTGTTATACACAACAAAGTCTGAGAGCCTCACCTTCATCCTCAAGAGTATGTAAACTGACGCCAATGCCGTGAGTTGCCAGCAAATGCCATCTCCAGTAGGCAGGTGATCAGCCCACTGGCCACTCACGCCATGCCCCACGCTTGCGACAAGCCGCTTCTGAAACACGTAGTGGAGAACTTTCCATTGAAAACATAACCAGATAATGCACACTAATAAAGTTTTAAATATCAAACATTTTAAACATTAAACATCACAGCTGATTTCCAGGAATAATACAAAGGAGAAAAATGTAAGTTTTAGAGTAAAATTGATATTTTATACTTATCCTGACTCATGCTTATTGCTTGTCTTCTTCTTCTGGCGAACCTAGTGGAACACTTGTATCTCCCAATTGAAGTTCCCTTCAATAAAAAATCACTCATTAGTACTCACACTCACTTCAGTTACCTCCTTCCATAATGCAAGGGAACGAGGGCCACCTGAACCCATGTGCCTCACTCTTCTCTCCCTCATATACTGAGCCCAACACTTGAATTTCCAGGGAAATCTAAAAGTGTTATGTGGGAGGATGGAGGGTGCTTACCTCATGAGTCAGGATAAGTATAAAATATCAATTTTACTCTAAAAATTACATATTTTTCCTTATCCTGACTCATGCTTATTGCTTGTAGAATCCTACGGAGAAGGAGGTGGGCATATATAATAATTTTGGATTTTAATAATTAGTGATTTGAATCTGTGAAGATTGTAATAACTCCTATGGGAACTTCATGTACAAAGGCACTGAACTGATGAATTCCTGCTGCTAATTTATCAGCTGCCATATAAAGGTTATTACAATTTACTTATTATGAAAAAAGTATATATAACATTACAGACTAATAGACTTAAGCTTGTTAATATGATAGCATAAACTCCTTAGAGTTTGTTACTCAAAAAAATACTTTTGCTGATATAAACATAGTAACCTGGAGCTTAAGATATGATTAAACTTAAGCTAAATATATAATAGCAAAAACTCCTTAGAGTTTATTAGCTAATATACTTTTGATGATATGAGTATAGTACTGTGCTTAAGATATAATTAACTTAAGCTACCTAAATAGCCAAAACAACTCCTAGAGAGTTTGTTAGCTAATACATTTTATAATGTCAAACCATAATGCTTAAGATATGATGAAACTTAAGCTAAATATATATAACAGCAAAACCCTTTAGAGCTCTGTTAGCTAACATACTTATATGATATAACATAGTACTGAGCTTCAAGATATGGGTAAACTTAAGCTACATATATATACAGCAAAACACTGTAGAGTTTGTTAGCTAATACATCTTTATAATGTAACCATAATGCTTAAGATATGATGAAACTTAAGCTAACATATATAATGAAGCAAAAACTCTGTAGAGTTTGTTAGCTAATATAAATATATGATATAAAAACATTAGTACTGGAGCTAAGATATGAATTAACTTAAGCCATATATATAATAGCAAAAAATCTGTAGAGTTTGTTAGCTAATACATTATAATGTAACGATAGAACTGAGCTTAAGATATGATTAACTTGCTTAAATATATACTAACAAACTCCAGCATAGAGTTGTTAGCTTATATATAGTATGGTATAAACACTATAGTACTGAGCTTAAGATAATAAATTAAACTTAAAAAATATATAGATAGCATGTATCTATTAGTACTGTTATCCCGATAAGTATAAAATCTGTAAGATAGACTTATCTTCTTCCGTGGAACTCAATGTCAACTGTTGAGCCGAGGACCATGGGACCGAAATGGTGGATACCTGAGACGCCCTCGGTGGTGATATCTCTCAGATAGTGGTTGGCAAAACACCATATCGGATCTCCAGAAACATCCCTCCCATTATGGTATTCAACGAGCAATTCCCATGTAGAGCGAGAGTTGAGGCTAGCGCCTAATTTCTTGAGGATTCGAGAAGTTCCTGGAGGGTCGAGTCCTGCAGCCCTTTGCCGACCGTAGGCACTGAGTATGACAGTTCTGATCCAGATAGAGATAGTAGTACGTAAGACTTCCGCTGGCGTAGCTGTAGATATAGGGATAAATAATCTCTTGAATATCCCTCTGCTCTGTTTGGATCGTTAGAGATATATTTTCAGTGTAGGGATCTGGGCACAGTGGATAGATCCATCTGTGATCAAGCGCGTCCAAGTATGGATTTGAGAGAATTGGGACATGGAATAATATGGTCTGGCTGACCTGGCAGCTGGTTTTCCCTATAAAATCCAGCTGCGGTCCCAGATGAGCTTTTGGCGGTTATGAATATCATCAAAGCGTTCTCTCCTGAATCCAGTACGCGGAATCTGACATCCTGGTGGCCGTGAGCTAGTGCTACATATGGGGTCAAGGTTCTGTGGGTCAGAGATTCAAACGATGTAGATAGCGATGAGTTAAAAACCTCACTAGGTGAGGTGTTGGAGCACTATATTAGATCCTGTTGGAGCGTGAAACTTCCGCTTTAACTCCAATCGAACGCTTTGTAACAAACCAAGTAACTCTTGGTGTTTTGTCAACTTGACGCCTGCCTCTATGGAAGTTAAGTGACAAGAACTTATAGCTGCAAGATAAATGGACAAGGTTGAGCCTTTTAGATTCTTAGTTTAACGGTGAGGATAACATGCTAAAAAATCTGCCACTAGAGGATGTGTAGCATATGTGGCTGTAAATCTTTTTCTAGCAGCGTATTAATTGACAAACTAAAAGCCATTTGGTCATCGATAAGCATAGTTGAGTTATGTCGCGCTAGGGCCGCTTTTAAAGCCAGCCTGGCAGAATAACCTCTATTCAGACATGCCTTGATACAATCCATACGTGAAGTTGGAATGAATTCTGGTGTTTTGTTAACTCTGTTTGGTGTGCAGATGTATCAATAGATTGAGCGCTGGGAGCATGAAGAATTAGTTTTTCCGATTTCTTGTATGAGATCTGAAACCAAGTTCCTCGCCAGCCAGTAGGGCTGACCAAATCAGATGGAGGCTCTGCATTTGACTGATTTTCTGTAAGACTTCTGCTTAGTGCATCCGCTGCCCATGCTAGTAATCTGGCACTGGGGATGTGAATTGTTGTCAGTTGCTTGTTGAATCGAAGTGGGTGAATAGGCCCATCAGGAGGAGATCCTATTTCCATGATTATTTGATTGAATATCTCTGTGTGTGGAGCATCCATTCCGGTCGGGCGCATTCGTAGGTGTGGCCCAGAGAGAGCCGCCTGCCAATACATTCTATGCCCTGAATGGGTAAGTACTGACGCTGCATGTTTAGATTGTTGATTAGATCAACAATCTGAAACATCGCAGTCAGTGGGTTCTGTGACCTAGTTGAACTCTGTTTGTTCACATAAAAGCCACTGTTGAATTGTTCGCGTGAAGCTTTATCAACTGAGCCGCTCTGCAGTAGGCTGCTCCAGTGACTTTATGGCATGCCTTATAACCGCTTTGCATCTCTAGCAGATTACGTGACACGGTCTTCTTGATTGCTCCATAGATCTGACGCTTACCTGGCCATTTCAAGGTGGGCTCCCTAACCTTGCAGTGACGCTTCCACGCATAGATGTTTTGTTTTCGATTCCGCGCCTACTCATGGAGAGAGACGCCCAGCAAAACATTCAATCTCTGGTCTTGATGATGAAATTCAACTGTAGTCTTGAGACGCTGTGGATTGGATCCACTTGTATACCCGCCGAGTGAAAATCTTCGCCAGTAAAGTCCTAGACGATGAAAAGCAACAAACCAGGCTGACTGCCATCGCTAGAACTTATGTAAAAATCGCCTTTGACTGCTGTGCCCTCGCCCCTACTTGGTGAGACAGGGAGGTCTCTCTAACCTCAAGAGGGCAGTCCAATCATGAAGGTTCAGATTAGTTGACTGTAAGCGAGGCTTTGCCCGCTCACTGATAATGTAGTCACTTGCAACCTAATTCTTGAACTGTGAACTATGCTCTAATCTCTGTGTAGGGTATTGTCCATCGCTGTGGTCCAATCAGAACAAGGCATCTTTGACTCTGTTGAGTACCCGATCTGTGATGTCACCGTGTAGCAGGAAAAGGAAACTTTGTATAATATAGTGCCGCTGCTGCGGATATTAGAGCAATCGCCGTCTTCGCACCAGCTTCCCTGCGGGTTACCCAAGCAACTTCACGGTTTCTCGAGGGTTACTGCAAACGCTGAACCCTCCAGCCGAATACCCTTCTGTAATATTAATGCTGGGTAGGTTATTTTCCTGGCTGTCGTGAAAGTAACTCTCAGTCTTGAAGATAATTCGACTTCCTTATTATAAGGTTTTCCGGGAAAACTGGTAAGTTGTCAGCTTGTAGACTGTATACATGGGGAATGTATCGGCCATAATTGTAGAATTAAAGCTGAACTTGTTGTACCAATTTCTTTTCTCAGAAAATCGATGACGATATGAGTTTTATTCACAATAAAGTTGGCTTCCGAAGATTTGAGCAGGCTGTAATCCAGATTAGCTTGGCACCGCATTGCAATCGGATCAATAGGAGGTAAGGTGAAATAGTTCACATCATCATTCTTCATGACGAAGTCTGATGCTGAATTCTTCGCTCTTCTTCGATGAAAAACAAGTAGTAAACTCATTCACCATCCAGTATCTAATCTCAGCATCTGAGAAAATGATACCTTTCTCCTCTTCTGACGAGGGTCACATGTCGAGTCCGGTGATCTATAGGGAAGATCTAAGTGAGAGGACTGTGGATGAACTCCGACTGACGAGCGGCTAGTGGCGGAGACCTTTGGAGGATAACCCTCCGCGGAACGCTTGGGGACTTCTGCCGGTTCTAACTATATCTTCTGAACGGGCCGGGGCTCATTAACGCTGGGGGCTTCACTAAGCTCTTCTATGTAGAATAGGAGTTAAATTTCGCTAGAACGCTGGGGCTTTGTGGAAGCTCTTCTAGGCTTATGTAGAATTGGAGCCACTTAGCCTCGAAGCGACCTCTTCGCGCGATTGCACTCCAGTCAGTGTCCCAGATCGATATGAGCCGCTGCTTCCCGCAAAACCCACCTCTCTGTGAATTACGGTAAGCTGCAGTTCATCATGCGCCTTCCTCCGCCGGGCTCTAGCAATAGGTGAGTGCCTCTAGCCCTTCGCCGAGGTGGCTCTGGGACTTCCTATGCGCTGAGGTAACAGTCGAGAAACAGGACGCTTATGACTTAACATCCTGAATGATAATCGGAATGTCATCATCATATAAAATAAATTCTGTGATAGGTAAACTATCGGAGGCAAATTCTATTAGATTTTGGTAGATTCCCTTTGATCGAGCTGCCAAACACCTGAGGTTCGAACGATGATGAAATGACGCTTTTCCGTAGTCTTTAGACTGAGAAGACGGGCAGGTCTTGAGATGCAGGTCGCTTATTGATTATAGCGGATCATGGCCCCACGCTTATCCCTCGAGGAATCAGGCATGCTACCAGCTCGGTATGGTCGCCGTAAACATTGACAGGAATATTAGCTTTGATGTAATAGCCATGACTGAAGATCGTTTCAAGTAGATTTTATCTGCCCTTTCGCCTAAAAACGGAACATAAATATTTATCAGCAGAAATCTGGTAAATTAATACATAATTCTACAACGAGAAACAAAAGAACATGGAGTAATGCAACTAGGCATTTTAAATGTGAGGATCAGCAGCGAATAACGAAGTTTACAATCTGTGCAAGATTCTATTAACGGTGAACTATTGAACAATCACGCCAAACCGTGAACAAACAGCGTTGAAACATAAATTAATCAAATGCAAGCCTGAATATGATACTAGTTTACAACTCTATACTCAAGTATAAGAGGTACTAAAACTAAAAGGATATAGTGTGTTGGGAGACATTAGGCATTCCCTAACCACCAGCCCACTGGGCTTAAGAATGAGAGAGTGAGGCACATGGGTTCAGGTGGCTCTCATTCCCGCTTGCAGTGGCCGAGGTGAACCCGCGGGTGGGTACTAATGAGTGATTTTATCTGCATGGAACTTCACCAGAGATGCAAGGTTCCACCAGGTTCGCCAGAAGAAGAAGACAAGCAATAAGCATGAGTCAGTGATAAGGAAAAATTTTCCCAAAACCCGTAGAGGTTTTCACTCTTTGAAGAGAGTCGTCCTGGGGTATATATTATGCATTTTCCGCTGAAAATGTCCCAGGTGATGAAGCTGTATCAATGCCTTTTGAATAAAAAGGATTGGTGTACAATAAATAAACTCTTTTATTTATTATAACGGATCTACCCACGGAGTTACCTCCTTAGCTTATGCCATCTTCAACTGGGTAGGCTCCTAGACCTCAAGATCATCATTCCTTCTGCTGAATTCTCATCAGTGAACAGAATTGTCGGGGAGGTGGGTGGGCCCTACCTCAAGGACGCATTCTCTTCAAAGAATTGAAAACCTCTGCTGGTTTGGGAAATTTTTTCAGAGAGATCGTCCTTGGGGTACATATTATGCATAAAACACAGACTCCCAAAGACCGAGGCCAGGGAGGAGGGAATTCTGTCCAAGCAATACACAAAATATAGCGATCGCGATCATGGAAAAAAATTGAACAGACGCCATAACACTCACCTGTCACTCGACCTAGTTTCGGCTTCCGCGAGAGGCATTATGGGAGGGGAACTGACAGGGAGGATTTGCAGGCTCAAAGATCGACTTCTTAGCATAATGAGACATTGCACGGATGCGTAATGTCAGTGAACTTCACCCACTAAGTGGCTTCTTCATGAGCAGCACGTGAGGGGAAAACAAAAATACCACTCACCAACGATATCGTGAATTCCCTTAGAGAATCGAAGGGGTACAGGTTCTCTGAGTGCCCGTGAGCAGACATGTCAATAATGGAATCATTGTACAGTGAAGGCCAACACAAACCAACAAACCAAGACTCACTTGGTCAGGGTGGCAGGACACTGTCCACTGTAGAGAACGGTACACGACCAAAGCTCGCATGACGATCATGCTGAATGTGTATCGAGCTGATAATGGCGCATATAAAAGCGCTTCTTACCGGCTCCAAATAGCGCAGAGCAGATCTCTTCAATGGGGAGCGCCGCTGCAAAAGCTTTGATCGCGGCTACTGCCCCTGACCCGAGTGAGCCTTCAACCCCTCAGGGAGGCTTGCCCTCAGCCTGATAAGCGTGCACAAATATTATCGAAACAAGCCAGCCAGACAAAGTTTGCTTTGCTCGCTGGCAGACCAGCCTTCCGCCATCCGTAATAACAGAACAGCTGGGCACCCGTCGCGGATCCCCGCGCCTCGCCTTTGATATAGACTTTGAGCGCCTTATGCACGGACATCCAACGGGTGAGTGCTCGTGAGGGATGGTCCCGATGTGGAAGGCTGGGCAAGAGTAGGAAGTTCGATAGGAGCTGTCACATGGAAAGCGTGATCGACCTTTTCGCCCGGTAAGTATCTGGGAGGCTTAACGCTGACATCGCGATCCGCGCGTGAAACACAGTCAGCGCTGGTCGGACGACATAGCATGTATATCGCCGACTTCTTCGACCAGATGTTACCGCCCACCAGAAACACAGCTTCCAGGTCAACAACTGAATGGAAATAAATGATAGGTGAGAAAGTGGACCGACAGCCAACCGAGCAATCCATCGCAAAACCTAAGGCGGACTGGTTCGCCTGAGAGCAGGTCGAACCGAATCCGCCCGCCAGCCAGAAAGCTGTCACGCAGAGGGTGCTGCCCCAGAAGAGCACCCATCGACAGGGGTGTGAAAAGTGGAAATAAGAGCAGGCTAGCCACTAATGGTCGGGCCGCCAGGCCTTCTTCCAAACGAGCTTGCAAAACTCCAATACTGGGACTAAATCCGCAGAAAAGGGATCTGCAAATGCCCTCTATCTGAACACCAGCCGCATAGCGGACCACCTATCCTCATACTGAACGCTTGTTCTAATCCCTCGAAGCCAGAATTGTGTCTGCAACTGCTGCAGGAATTCAAGCGTGCCTCGAGGGTTAGACCTGACAGAGGCTTCACCCACTGAATCCTGTGGATTTGGGTGGGCGCCCGCTCTGAGTGAGAATCGTCCGGGTCGCGAAGGTAATAGAACAGGAGGCTGAGCCAGAAACCTGAGAATTACCGGAAACCAGCTCTGTGACGGCCAAAGCGTGCCAGTAGCACAAGTAGCCGAGCTGGCTGGTGGACAGCTGTGAAAGGACACGGGGAATGAGTGGTAACGGCGGGAACGCCCAGAGCACTTTTGCCCAGGCCAATCTGAACAGGAAGGCCGGCAGCCAACGCCTCTGGTCCGGTATTCGAGAGCAGAACATCGGATTGTTCGATGCGCCCGGCCGACGCAAACAGATCCACCTCGAACGACCCGCATAACGGGGAGATTACTGTGAATATCTGCCTGTCGAGCATCCACTGCGGTAAGGGGCCAGGATCCGGCGCGAGAGCGATCTGCTCGCATCGCTCTCCAGCCCCGGAGATAAACAGGAGTACCTGACAATCGCATTCGGTCGCGCTTCCAGAGGAGAAAGTCCCACGCCACCCGAGGAGCTGCCAGACACCGCGCCTCCCTGCTTCAGGATGTAACGACATGGCCGCCGGGTTGTCCAACTGAAGACGGACTACCTGGCCACGGACATGCTCTCTGAAGCGCTCAATACCAAACCGCGACAGCTCTCAGCTCCAACACGCTGATGTGAAGGTGAGCTTCGCTTCGACCAGAGTCCGGAAGCCGACAGACTGCTCCAGAAACGCCCAGCCCGTGAGGGACGATTCGTCTGAACCGTGAGAGCTGGCGCCGGGATTTCCAAGGGGAACCCCTGTGAGATTCCCGACATTTGTCCACCACTGAAGGTGAGGTGTCAACCACTGGGACTGTGAGAGACAAGCGCCCAGATCCTCCGCAGGAGTCCACAGCCGAGCCAAAGCTTGCTGTATGGGACGATTCAAACGCGCCTCGCCACACTACAGAGATCGCCGCCGCTTATATGGCCCAGTAGACGGAGCCAAGTCCGTATGCTGGTGCCCTGGGGCTGGGAGAGGAATGAAGATACCATCTCCGAACTCTGGTGACCTCGTCGGGCGACAAGGAAATCCAGATCCTTGTTCGCTTGAATCAGCCGGCAAGAAAACCAAGTCCTGGGTGGGTACCAGGTCGGATTTCTTGAGGTTGATGATCCACCCCAGTCGAGTTAGAATGTACTATCACTGTGTGAGTAGCATCTTGACTCGCTGGCTGTGTTAGTGCTCCGAAAGCAACCAGTCGCCTAGGTAAGGGTAACAACGCCTTCCTTAGCGAGCCGAAGCTAGGGTAGCTGGGACTAATATGAGCTTGGTGAACACCCTTGGGGCAGTCGATATGCCAAGGGGAGCACCCTGAATTGGTAATACATCCCCGCCGTGAAGAGAACCGGAGGTACTGCTTGAACGAGGGATGTATGGGCGTTACGCAGATACGCGATCCTTTAGGTCGCATTGACGGAGCCAATCGCCGGGCTGAACAGATGAGATCACCGAGCGCAGTGTTCCATCTTGAAGGATGGTATTGAAAGCATGCGATTCAACCCCTTGAGGTTGAGAATCGATCGAACCCGCCGCTCTTTCTTCGACGAGAAGTACGTGGAGTAAAATCCCGCTTCTGTTCCTCCTCCGGTGGAATCGCGCCTGATTGGCGGACTTGTCCAGCAGAGCCTGAACTTCGTTACAGAATATGTCCGCTTTCTGGCTTGGCATGACGGCACCGGAGGCGGCTGGGATGCCGTGAAGTCGGGCGGACTTCGCGCCCACAGTGGGAGATGGCCTATGCTGACCGTGGCCAGCACCTAAGCTGTTGTTGGTAGCCTTCTCCCATTCCGGCAGGAATAGAGAGCGGCCTCCCACTGGGATATGGGGTAGGCTGCGGCGTGGACCCTAGTAGAAGGAGCTGACTGGGTGTGACACACGGCTTGAGCGCAGCCTGTTGGGTTAACGGAGGTCGGGCAGACCTCCCGCTACGCTGGTAAAAGGCTGGGAGCTAGTCGAGGACTGCTCCTGCCCCTACCCTTGGCGACCTACTCCTCCTCGCTACCCCTACTAAGCGGCGAAGCCAGCCGGCAGACTCGGTGTAGGCTGCACCCCGCGGAGGAAGGTGGCATCGGAGCGCTGGGCGACACCGGTGCTCCAACAAGGCCTTAGAATCCTTGAAGGAGGTAGCTGCAGCGGCAGCCTCCCCGTATGACCTGCTGTGCCCCGGGGAAAGAGGGTCGCCCCAGACGGAAAGGAGAGCCAGCAAGGTCTGCTGTTGCTGCCGAGTACCGGTGACGCCGACAGCCACAGCCTGGCGCATCCCCATGACTGGGCGCACATCACCGCCGACACAGCAGACCGCGAAGAGTCGCGCGCAGGTGAGCCTGCACTTCCGACAGCTGACGGAGGAGACGATATCGCGGCGACATCGCCGCCAGCATGCCCTTCCGCCTCCAGGGCCGTAACCTCTGTATCGAGGAGAGGTAGGCCTCATGGACCACCACTCGCACTCCGCTGCATCGCGTTCGCAGACCTCCTCGTAGGGTCCGCACGCGGCGTCGCAGGGAAGCCCCAGTGGGCAAAAGGTGGAGTGAGGCGCCCTTGCCGAGCAGCCGGAGCTGCTCCGAGGAAGCCGAGCCTCCCCAGGGCGCACGGAAGTGAAAACACACACGCGTCAACGATCGGCACGACGAACAGGAATCCTCCCCAAGCTGGTAGCGCCGCGACGAAGTTCAGGTAAGTCAAACCTGACTCGGTACCAGACAAGAGGGGATCACCACGTCCCGCCACCAACGATGGCAGAATGCGGAGCTGCGCCTGTGAGGGTTGCCTAGGGCAACGCTCACCAGGCAAGCCGAACTCAGTCGAGTCCACGCAACCAGCAGGCACCGCCTGGGGTAGGCCCTCGGCAATTCTCTGCCGACCTCCCAAGGCGAAGCAAAACGGAAGCTGCCGCCATGCTCCTCGACCTCCCCGAAGCCCATTGCCTCGGCGTCCGAGCCCGAAAGGCGTCAGAGGCTGGGTCTCCTCCGTGAAGAGGACCCTAACCCCACCCGGTGGACTGCCTCCAGCTGGGCACCACAGGAAGGAGGAACAGACCGACTGCTCCACGCCAGCGCCAGCCGGGCGGCGTGGACTCCCGTCTCAGACGCTGAGGCAGGCCAGGCAGAACTGGTGCCTCCGCTCTCATAATGGTGTGCGCAAGGACCGGAATACCAGGAATACTCAACGGCCTAAGCGCCAAGCTCCGAGAGAGGGACTGGGAGCACCTCCTCTCTCGAGCAGCCGAGGCGCCCGGATCCGGCCAGAGGCAACGGATCGACAGACGCCTCAAGGCTGAGGGATCGGTCGCGCCAGCGATCCCACCCTCGACTCTCACTCCCCGTCCGAGTGGGCGAGGAACTCCTGCCGGAGACTCTCCAACCGACTCACGGACGAAGGACTTCATTGAGTCCATCTGCTGCTGAAACATCGACTCCATTAGAGACATGTCAAAACCACTCGGTGGTAGGAGAGGGAAGGGCCACGGGATTTTTCCTTTTTGACGCCCGCTTAGATTTTGACGGGGAACCTGCGCCAGGTCCTCCGCCACCACGATCTCGCAAGGTAAAACAGGGTGTCGGGTCGCCCGTCTCTTCTGTGCCCGGGGAAAAGGCCAGACAAATTGAACATGTATCAGCCACATGGCCCGCCTTCTCCAGACAGGCCACGATTGGGAGTGACTGTCAGCCCGGGAATACTTCCCCACAGACCGAACAACAGGTAAAGCCTGAAACAAACACGTAAACATGTTAGTTAACTTGTGTACAGCAGCAGATAAACACGAGGAAAACATTGAAAAATACGTGAAGGTTACCACGGAAAGTAATAGTTGGTTTTAAACGCAATATTACGCACCACGCTGCACGCTTAAACTTCCCGCCATGGCAGAGCAAACTTGCGTAAACCACGGGAAAGGTTGGCGATTTTGATAGTACTTATACAAAGTCACAATTATGAAAACAACCACTGTAAGGTCTTTACTGTTATTGTTTTGTGACAAATAAAACCAAACATACAGGTGGTGTCTCAGACATCTTAAAATACAGCGCCGTACGGCTCATGAAAGGTAATCTCAACGAACGTCTGTTCAGGGCCGTGACAGCAGAAGGAATGATGATACGGGTCTAGGAGCCTACCCAGTTGGTGCGCATGCGTTAAGGGAGGTAACTCCGTGAGGTAGGGTCCGTATAATAAATAAAAGAGTTTATTTATTGTACAATCTTTTTATTCAAAAAACATTGATACAACTGTCACAGGACATTTTTCAGCCGGAAAATGCATAATATGTACCCCAAGGACGATCTCTCTGAAAAAGAATGCATAGTATCCAGATGGATAATGGTTTTCCATCATTTTCCATCATCCACCCACCTGTCCATCCATGTAATACAATTTTCAAATATAAGAAAGCTGTTGGGTACTAGTAAATGATAAACATGTGTACTATTTATATTTATGTGGCAATTTTGTACAATGATAATATTTGCAATTCATCGGTCCGTAGATATTTTACAAGCTTTGAAGTTCTGTCAATTATTCTTAACTAAAATTATTATCAAAACTACCTATAAATCAGTGCAAAAATATCACTAACTACATGAGTGAATGCATGTAGATTAAAGCCGCTGTCACATCTTACGGTCATGAACGTTGTTGACCGTAATCATTTGAACGCAGTTCACCGCAGTGCCACTACGGTGAACTAGACTGAAATAAGGTGAAGTAGGTTGGAAGTAGTAGTAAATCGTAGTGCCATGTTACCACAGTGTACTACAGTCAACACAACAGTGCAGTAGGGTCAATTACCGTCTACTAGGGAGAACTAGGGTCAACCATGTTCAACCCCGTTCAAACTACGGTACTGGTACGGTCTTGGCATTCAAGCTAACCGTAGAGATATATTGAACATGTTGAAATTGTTTTTGTTCTAACCACTGCTAAACCCTGGGTTTGCTGAAGTTTAAAGTATGCTCATAACTATGGTGATCTGTGTTGAACTATACCTAACTACGCTTTAAGCAAATGATAAACATGTGTACTATTTATATTTATGTGGCAATTTTGTACAATGATAATATTTGCAATTCATCGGTCCGTAGATATTTTACAAGCTTTGAAGTTCTGTCAATTATTCTTAACTAAAATTATTATCAAAACTACCTATAAATCAGTGCAAAAATATCACTAACTACATGAGTGAATGCATGTAGATTAAAGCCGCTGTCACATCTTACGGTCATGAACGTTGTTGACCGTAATCATTTGAACGCAGTTCACCGCAGTGCCACTACGGTGAACTAGACTGAAATAAGGTGAAGTAGGTTGGAAGTAGTAGTAAATCGTAGTGCCATGTTACCACAGTGTACTACAGTCAACACAACAGTGCAGTAGGGTCAATTACCGTCTACTAGGGAGAACTAGGGTCAACCATGTTCAACCCCGCTCAAACTACGTACTGGTAACGGTCTTGGCATTCAAGCTAACCAGTAGAGATATATTGAACATGTTGAAATTGTTTTTGTTCTAACCACTGCTAAACCCTGGGTTTTTTTTGCTGAAGTTTAAAAGTATGCTCATAACTATGGTGATCTGTGTTGAACTATACCTAACTACGCTTTAAGCAAATGATAAACATGTGTACTATTTATATTTATGTGGGCAATTTTGTACAATGATAATATTTTGTAATTCATCGGGTCCGTAGATATTTTACAAGCTTTGAAGTTCTGTCAATTATTCTTAACTAAAATTATTATCAAAACTACCTATAAATCAGTGCAAAAATATCACTAACTACATGAGTGAATGCATGTAGATTAAAGCCGCTGTCACATCTTACGGTCATGAACGTTGTTGACCGTAATCATTTGAACGCAGTTCACCGCAGTGCCACTACGGTGAACTAGACTGAAATAAGGTGAAGTAGGTTGGAAGTAGTAGTAAATCGTAGTGCCATGTTACCACAGTGTACTACAGTCAACACAACAGTGCAGTAGGGTCAATTACCGTCTACTAGGGAGAACTAGGGTCAACCATGTTCAACCCCGTTCAAACTACGGTACTGGTACGGTCTTGGCATTCAAGCTAACCGTAGAGATATATTGAACATGTTGAAATTGTTTTTGTTCTAACCACTGCTAAACCCTGGGTTTGCTGAAGTTTAAAGTATGCTCATAACTATGGTGATCTGTGTTGAACTATACCTAACTACGTTTAACTACATTTAACTGTGGTCAAATACGATCTACTACGTTCATCCCCCACTACAGTCAACTACGTGCATGTCCGCACGATGTGACCGCCGCTTAAGATTGAGTGACTACATATGAAAAGATTATTGGACATCATTTTAGTTTATTGACCATTTCCTGTTGCCTATGTGACTATATTGTTTACCATCTGTAGGTTAAGACAGTTATCCTGTTTAGTGTTGACCGCTACTTTGCTGCCAGCTCATTGCCACACAGTGGTAAGTAAGGTGTATATGTTGTGAATACACAATGCCATTCAGAGAGTGTCAAATGTAACACATGATATATTTGGGATAACACTTTCTCAGTAAACTACAGATTCCAGTTCTTCTGTTGTTGGGTTTGAGTCTCAGGCAGGATTCGAACCCACACTCGGCAGGCACCTAATTGCCAGGACATTAAGTCAGCTGTCTAACCTACTCAACCACACAAAGTCAGCCGTGGTGGCAGAGTGGGTTAGACTGTATGTGCTGGCAATAAGATGCTTGACTCCGAGAGTGTGGGTTCGAATCCTGGTTCGGACACAACCCAATAAAGTACTAAATTCTATAGTTCACTGAGGAAGCATAAGCCTAACTATAACATGTTACAGGTGTATATGTTGTATATATATATATTGACTTTATATCATGGCAATTTGTTGAGGCAGTAAGTATATATTGTAATATGACCAGTTATACTTTTGCATTTAATTGTAGCTACTGTTCCATTTACATCATATTAATGTGTAATTCATATTAATACTATGTGATATGGTTGGTGTAATAAATCCATCAGATATTTTAATAGTATTTTTATATTTCCAGAGCTGAATCTGACAAGTTAACTTGGTTTACTACAAAACCACTGCATTAGCTCATTCTGCGTTTTTCATAAAACTGAAGCCTCATCAACTAGTAGTGGACGAGGATCTGGTTTAAAAAAAGATGGACATACATAAAGTGGAAACTGCCTAAAATGTCTGAGCAATCTCGCGATTTTGTTTGATTATGTTTGACGTTTTATTACATTGTATTTTTATAAATGTATTACTAAACTAACTAAACTTAATGAAATTTTATGGAATAAAACATGTCATATTACTTACAAATGTTTTATGTTATTCTGCTGTATCCACACACACGCCAATGGTTGACATTTGTAGGGTTCGATAAGTTTGGATAAGAAAAATACCTGATAAGTAAAGAATTTTGGCGAGTCCCTTGAAATTTTACTTATCAGGTTTCCACTGTAAATATGTTACAGGGGATGTGTGAAACCAGGCATTTCACGCAATGCCTAAAAGAGACAGTGATTTCGTGACCCCCAGGGATTTCATGTATTCCCTAAAATTTCAAGGGATGTCATCAAATTACAATTTCAGCACACTTTTACAATTTCAGTTCATTTGACAAGGCATTTAAAGAATTAGCGATGTTTTTCAAATGTTTTGTTTTCTTTATTGAAAATAGCTGTTTAAGTTTAAACATATTAGGCCATCCATAGAAATAATTAGGAGATAAACATACTGTGTTGGAAAATCAGAGGTATATAACGAAATTATAATAGCTCTAAATTTGATCTAAATCTAAACGCATCATTTGAAATTAATTATGTGCCCGCAATTATGTAGTCTGACTGCAGCATTGGATAGTTGACAGCCTGAAACATGTCTAGTCTGACAATGACCTACCTTCAAGGAGGGTCTGCATCACTCTGAAGGCCGAGACCAGGAGCTCCGGTTGTAGGACGTCCGACACGTCATCCCCGATCTGGTTGTAGCACTGTGCTAGGGCAGACCCACCCAGGGTCACGCTACTACTCAGGTTCACGTATAACAGCGTACCTGTTCAAGATTTCAGACACCGTTAAAATATGTTGTGATACATAAAACCACATCTCAAACATCAGTTATAACCTATATCCATACAGACAACTCTACAATGTCTAGCCATCATAAACTACTTCATGATCAATACTCTCAGTTCGGCATGTAAGGGAGCTTGTTTGCATGTTTTTAGGCAATATGTTGTGACCGAATTTGTTCACCCTATGTGATGTGATTTGCTTGCTCTTTCACATCGGATTTGGTTTCCTGATCTCCTAATTTGTGACTAACAGCACTGCTACGTATTCGATTTTGCCAAATGAAGAGTGCATATCTTTCCCCATGTTGGCATAAGCAAAGGTTACTGCAGTAAACCCCATGTCTGGTACTGCAACAAGAGTGATACTTTGTTACAACATGAGTGTGTAATAAAGGTGTTAAGCAGTGTGATGGAGCAATTTCGTAAACGTTCCACACTGCTCTCTTTTCATATATCACTGACAGGTGAAGCATGTATATAAATGTGATAAAATAAGGCATGTTGACACTGCACTCAGCAATACTCCAGCTATATGGTGGCGGTCTGTAAATAATCGAGTCTGGACCAGACAATCCAGAGATCAACAGCATGAGCATCGATCTGCGTAATTGGGAACTGATGACATGTGTCAACCAAGTCAGAGAGCCTAACCACCCGATCCCTCAGTTGATGATACACAACATGCTATATTCATCTGAAGATATAACATACTTAACACCACATTCAATACAAATCAGAATTATTCATGTCTGCATAGCCTAACATTTATTTTGTGAATTGTCCGAGAATGGCCACATGGAGAAGTCTGACTCTGATATGCAGATGTGACCTTACCTTCCCCTCCGAGACACTTGAGGTCAGGGGTCACTGTTCTTGTGACATCCGGACAAGCAGCGTAGGAGGAGACCACTAACGTTCCTGTTAAAAAAGAAGAAACATGAGCCTATTATGTGCCTTTTCAAAATGGCATCTGGGTTTTGTGCATAGGAACAAATATCTTATTATTGTGGGTTACGTACATGATTTCCAGTAAAATATACTGTAAACGTATTATATATCGCGCAAGTGATATTTTCGCGCAAACTATTTTACCGCAAAAATTTATACACAGCGAATAAGTCTTTCATTTATTCAGACTCTACCCACGCTCACCTGTGAGTTGTTACCATAACACATCAAGTTTGAAGACAGAAATCTACGGGAATCTTAAAATGACGACTGATAGTAGCATAAAAGAATCACACTTAACATGTCCCGACATTTTCTATTTTGACCAATTGTAGTGACAGATGGTTTGATACAAAACGGATTACCAAGAAACGACTCGGAAACAAATAATACAGCAGTAGTTTTTTTATTTATTCATTAAGACTTTATTTATATTTATTCCTGCATATCACGAAATGAAATCACAAAGTCTGGAAGTCCAGGTGTCTTAGGGGTAGGTGCTTTCTTTAACCACATTCGCAATGCCATCGTCAGATCGTCAGAATTCGGAACATAAGACTGATGTGTTTTTCATCTCTTTATATAGTATACTAGTACCATCACGATATCTCACTTCCTAAGTACTTAATACTTCCGGGAGTAAACGTATCACAGTAAATATCGCGCAGGTAGGGATTTCCTGTGAGTAAGCAATACACGCCGCCTGACAGGTTAAGCCACTCTGTTTGTTTTCATTGCTATTAGTGGCGGCCAAAGAGACAGCTGGCAGTTCCGGCAATTACTGATTACGCGATTTAGTCTAAACTGTCAATTCCTCGAAATTTGCACCAAGCGAAAAAATGTATGTTTACAGTATTCAAATTCTGTTCCTTAGGAGGCAAACACCACACCATTAGATCACTGTCACCCTAGACAAATATAAACACAATATGGAACACCTCTTCAGTCACACATTGTGAACACTAAGCCTTGCTATGAATGCACAAAGCTGGAAGTGGTCAAATGTAACAAATATTTGTCATAAATTACAAAGTACAAAGTACAAAGTACAAAGTACAAGTGCTGGTGATTTGGTGCCAGATGACTCGGACACTATCTGTCTACACCAAGATTACTGAAATTTGTAGCTAAGAAATTGTAATTCCAAATATAACTCCTGTCATGCTGGTCAGAAAAACTGATTGGTTTGAAAAGCATTTCCTTGCCGCCCCCCTCACCTGGTGCCTTGACAGTTTCCTCCCCGACCCGTGCTGCCATGCTGAGGGAGTCCTTGCCTCCGTCCACAGCGATGCCGATCTTGCCCATCAGGTCACACATGGCCTTACATGCATCGACCAGTGCAGCGCCTTCTCCTGGCAGCTTGGCCGCCCACATCCAGTTGCCGCTACACTTGATGTCCTGGTGCACGCAAACAGAACATACACTGCTACAGTGAGTGAGTGACTTCAGTTTTATACTGTACACAGCAACAAAACTGTGACTGTCCCAGTCCACCCAGCTGTGAGCCTAGTGGCCGCAAGAGTTGTATGATCCCCAGGGAGTTGGGATTGATAATACAATGTTCCGTTTGAGTTTAACATCAAGGGAAAATCAAAAGCACCTTTGAGCAGCTGAGCTGGATATTGGCGTTACACAAATATTAGTATAATAATTATAATTCCCGCTGTATGGGGGCGGCCTGTACAAACTCGAAATGTGGACCAGACAATCCAGTGATCAACAGCATGAGCATCGATCGATCAACTGGGATACGATGACGTGTGTCAACCAAGTCAGCAAGCCTGACCACTTGATCCCGTTAGTTGCCTCTTTCGACAAGCATGGGTTACTAAAGATCAATTCTAACCCAGATCTTCACGGGTCCACACACACTGCTACAACAGGAGGAGGGAAGGTACTCTATGTGCAGTGATGGTGTTAAACATACTTTCTAGATTGGGCATATGTGCTACACTTATTGTCGCCTTCTCCCCATGTGTATTCATGCCTCCCACGTGTTGAAGCATGGAATACAAGAAACATACAGTAACACAGTCACATAATATGACTGTAAGGGTTTATCATGGTCACCCTTACTTAAATGTAAAGGTTATACTTCAGTTTCATTTTAATTTCATATAATTCTGATATAGTTTATAATTTCAATATGTTTATGAACAGGTATGAACTCATTTATTGTTTTAAGTACTCTTTTAAAAACAGTCCTATTTACAAATCCCCATTCTGATGCATACATTTAAATTTGGTCAAGTATTGTGTCAAATGCTGACAAAATACAATTACGAGGCAAGTTAATGTCGATAATGCAACCTTTGCATGACAACAGGAGTCCATAATTCTGTACATAAGGGACCATTCATAATTTATGGCTGGGGGTGTGGGGGGGGGGTGTTGATGATGATGATGATTTTTATTGAGAAGGATGTACAATTTGAATGTGACCCCCCTGCATGTCATGTACAAAATCAATGCCCCCCTTCCCTTTCCTATATTTTTTGTATTTTTATGTACAAATTGCTGACACCCCACCCCCACCCCTACTACATTTGTACAAAACTGTTGACACCCAACCACCCCTTCCCTAAAACAAAATGGGTGACCACCCTCCCGTGAAAAATCAATTATGAATGGTCCCTAAGCACATTTCACCCTATATTTCTCTAGTAATCATAATCATTATAATGATAATGGGAATAAGCATAATGGGAGCGAACCCTAATTTCCATGAATTCATCAAATTGTTCATTCAGAAATGGCTGCTGAAGTTAATGACACTGGAATTGAAAAATTCTTTGCCTGTGACATCAAAGAGTGTATCTTATTCTGTAGTTGTTAGTATTTTCAAGACCCATTACTTGCCTGCACGTCACCACAAATGTTAAACCATTCACTAACCTCACAAGCTGCTGTGGTCAAAAATCCCTTTCAGCTAAACGTACAAGAGTTGTCCCCCTTCCTAAGAGATATCATGGAGCCATTTTGCTAAAAGGCTGACTTGTCTCAATAGGTATATGTTGCTTGTATGTTAATGTTTTCAATCTCTACGGTCAACTAAAATGAATCGGACCACAGAGAAAGAACTACTAAGCAAAGAAAACATGGAAAAAGTACTGCCTTCCCAGTTGTTGGATGTCTGTTTTGGAAACATTCAAAATGTCCTACCTTGAGATCTGTGACGCTGGCAAACATGAGGTTAGTGAGACACTCGGCCACAGCCATCCGGGCACCGGCCTCGGGGTTGATAAGACCTTTGATTGGCTGCTCTCCAATGGCGGTTGCCGCACCAACCTGAAACCGGATCGGTTGACATTGTATACAGGATTCCATTGCCAGTTATCAGGCACTATAAAGATAGTGTTGTACGTCTCCTGTACCCTATGTCTAGTGTTAGAGCTGACTCAAACATGGATGAGGTGCTCACAATGTGTCATCTGTCTAACCGTTAAACAAACTATATAGAGGAAACAATGGAGGACAAGCATGTCTTTTATTGCAAATGAGTGAGTGAGTTAGTTTTATGCCACTTTAGCAATATTCCAGCAATATCACAGCTTCACACATTGTACCCATGTAGGGAATCGAACCCGGGTCTTCGGTGTGAGGAGCAAACGCTTTAAACACTAGACTACTCCACCACCCCTTATTGCAAATGTTGAGGCTGTTTGCTCCGGTGGTGTGGTTCAGTCCAAATTGCAATACAGAAGTAAAGTTCAAATTATGCATTTTAAACGTTTCTAGAAAGGATTTGCCTTGAAGGTTGTGTTGTGCTATAGGTGGTATTATACAATATCAATGGATAAAAAATATGTCTAATTAAAATCATTACTTCAAAATTTGTTGTTGCTTTTTCATAAAGTTCACACCATCCTGAATTCTATGTTATTGTTTTAAGTTAGCACTAAGTTAAAGGTCACATGCAACGTAAAACACAACTTTGCAGATTCTGATACCTTTCGGTATGGACATACCGAAACAAATCGTCAAAAATGCAAATTCAACTTATAAAGTTGAAAAATAACGCGATGAAAAAAAACGCGCGAAATCGGAGTTCAAACATTTCACTAATTTTCCCAGACTTTTCTGGGGAAAACGGGTTTCAACAGCTGGGCTGCTTCATAGCACGATAAAGTAAATAGGTTCGAGTGCAGCTTGGAAGCGGTTGTCGGGTGAATACCGGTGAAGGCTTTGGTGTGAGCTATTTTCTAATGTTTTGTTGATATCTCACGAAGAAGCTTTGATATGTTATGACAGTAAATTAACTGTTTATATAATTTCATTTGTCTATTTCACCACACGTTCTTCTTACCGAGTCATCTCTCAGTTCGATACTTAAAAGCAATGTCATTATTTAGAGTTGACAGAATTTCTAACTGTGATATAGATATGTCGTTGTCACAGACAAAACTCAATGTCTTGTTTTATTGACACCTGTGTGTCTGCCTGCCTGTCTGCTAATGACAATATTCAATACACAGCTGCTATCACTGACCACATGCAATTTGAACTTAACACCAATCAGGCTATACACCATAAACAAAATGCATCGATTTATGGCCCGAGTTCGGTCTCTGTCACATTATGTAATTAGACAGACAGGCAGGTGTGATACTTGAACACATGACATGTTATGATGTCTGTTGATTGCAAAATGTTATACACAAACAATGAGCATGTATTTACAAAACCCAACATCTCTATATATATACACACACAATTAGCCGTGAAGGCATCTGCAAATGAACCAGCCGTTACACTTGAGTGCACACCCACACGCTCTGACTGGGTTCAGTATCCCGGCTGCTTCATTTCCTTGGAAGTAAACCGAAGTACACAATTTTGCACTTTTGATTTGCGATTGTACGCTTATAATTTTGTTTATATATTTTTTCGTAACCAGCAATGTATATTATATGTCATGAATAAGTGATAATTGTGTTTTAATTATGTTTGATTTTTTGGTTGCATGTGACCTTTAAAAAATGATAAATTAAGCCATGAAGCTAAATCTTCTGTATGGGTCCTGTTACCATGGAAACACTTCTACAGACACTGAACATTAGTTATGCCAGGGCAACCAAGACAGCATGATCTAGTAACAGCTGAGATCTAATGTGATTTCCCACATGTGCCAGTCTTTTGACAGTCAGTTTATTTTTATGCCACTTTTAGCAATATTCCAGCAATATCACGATGGGGGACACCAGAAATGGGCCTCACAAATTGTACCCATGTAGGGAATCGAACCCGGGTCTTTGGCATGGCGAGCGAACGCTTTAAACACTAGACTACTCCACCACCCCTTATTGCAAATGATGAGGTTGTTTGCTCTGGTGATGTGGTTCAGTTCAAATTGCAATACAGAAGAAGTAAATTCAAATGTGAACGCTTTAACCGCTAGGCCACTCCACCGTCCCTCATTTGACAGAATCCCAAATGGAACTTTCTAAAGAATTAAAAGGCAGTATATACAGAAGTAGCTGACTGCCCAAAGCCTGCCTCAATGTCAGCGTGTCAAGGCTGTAATCTCCAGATGAATGTCATTAATACAACTCACGGCATCGAAGTATGAGGTAGCGGTGACGGCCACGTCTGCGAGGGGTGTGTGCAGCGGACCCACACACTGCTGCTGGGCGACCAGTCCCGTCACCGACCGATCAACCTGAAACACAAACACACCATACTGTCACAGCAGCAGTTCCTGCAGTACAGCTATCCATATCCAGTACAGCTATCCATATCCAGTACAGCTATCCATATCCATCAAGTAGTAAGCCACTTGTCAGTCAGTCTGAAACTTGCATCAAACTTGTTGTTCTCCCAGTTATGTTATGTATATAAATTGTCTGTGAGGTGGGCAAGTGGATCAATTTCCTGCATTTTGTCTGAAAGGTCACTTCGAGTCTACTGTTACTTATCTAGGAAAGAAGATGTAACTTAAGGATATATATACTCCTCACCCTATGGCAAACTAATAGGACATCTTACAGCTACAAGGGGGCAGCATTCACCAAACACTTACTACTGGCATAAAAATCACTAAGATGAATCACAGCAAATATTTATCCAAATTGCATTATAACTTCTCCCAACAATTAGTAGGGTTGCTAAGATACATCAACATATTTTGATACTTGTGTCTCTCTATGACGACTATCATGATCTACTGTGAACAATGTTTGTATGAAATCATTCATGTTCTAAGCAATCTGTCCCAAGAGATTGTTTCTATCAAGCAGTTTGTGTTGAACACAGTGTATTTTGATTGATCTTTTAGTTTCATGGCAGAAAGGTAAAGATAACCAGAGTTGATATCTTGAAGGGTTGTTGTCGATATAATGTAAACCATTCATGAAAAGGATATTTCCCCACAGCAATACAAACAAGTATTGTCACTAAGGTGACATAATCCCCAGCCGCAAATTATCAAATCAAACTTAAAAAGTAATGAAAGTGAAGGCTGTAGTTTAAGATGAAGTTAAATGTCAACAAAAGCATGACCAGTCAACCTGCACCTTCCCGAGATGATGCTTTGTGTCAAATATGAAGATAGTCAGCGAATGGTTTGTGACAAGGTGAACATGTATGTTAACAAACTAAAATTTTCCCAAACCTGCAGAGGTTTTTAATTCTTTGAAGAGAGTCGTCCTTGGGGTACATATTATGCATTTTCCGGCTGAAAAATGTCCTGTGACAGTTGTATCAATGTTTTTTGAATAAAAAGATTGTACAATAAATAAACTCTTTTATTTATTATCACGGACCCTACCTCACGGAGTTACCTCCCTTAAGCGCATTGCACTAACTGGGTAGGCTCCTAGACCCATTATCATCATTCCTTCTGCTGAATTCTCATCAGTGAACAGAATTGGGGAGGTGGGTGGGGCCCTACCCAAGGGCGACTCTCTTCAAAGAATTAAAACCTCTGCAGGTTTGGGAAATTCTTTTTCAGAGAGATCGTCCTTGGGGTACATATTATGCATAAACACAGACTCCCAAAGACCGGAGGCCAGGGAGGAGGGAATTCTGTCCAAGCACACACAAAATATAGCGATCGTATCATGGAAAAAAATTGAACAGGCGCCATAACACTCACCTGTCACTCGACCCAGTTTAAGCTTCGCGAGAGGCATTATGGGAGGGGAACTGACAGGGAGGATTTGTGCTCAAAGACGACCTCTAGCATAATGAGACATTGCACGTAGTGCGAATGTCAGTGAAATCCGACCCACTAAGTGGCTTCTTCATGAGAGCACCGTAGGGGGAAAACAAAAATACCACTCACTAACGATATCGTAACTCCTTAGAGAATCGAAAGGGGGTACAGGTTCTCTGAGTGCTCGTAGCAGACATGTCAATAATGGAATCTTATTGTACAGCAGCGTCAAAACAAACCAATAAACCAAGACTCACTCGGTCAGGGTGGCAGGACACTGTCCACTGGAGAGAACAGTACGGCCAAAGTTAGCACGATTACGTGAATGCGTATCGAGCTGATAGTGGCGTATAAACGTGCTTGGCCGGCTCCAAATAGCGGCAGAGCAGATCTCTTCAATGGGGAGTGCCGATGCAAAAGCTTTTGATGCGGCTACTGCCCTGACCGAGTGAGCCTTCAACCCCTCAGGGGGAGGCTTGCCCTTAGCCTGATAAGCGGCACAAATACACGAAACAAGCCAGCGAGACAAAGTTTGCTTGCTGCGCTGGCAGACCAGCCTTCCGCCACCGTAACAACAGAACAGCTGGGTACCCGTGCGGATCCCCTGCGTTCGTTTGATATAGACTTTGGCGTCTTCACGGACATCCAGCGGGTGAGTGCTTTCGTAGGAGTGGTCCCCGATGTGGAAGGCTGGGTAAGAGTAGGAAGTTCGATAGGAGCTGTCACATGGAAGCGTGATCGACCTTCGATTCGGTAAGTATCTGGGAGGCGAATGCTGACACGATCCGTGTGAAACACAGTCAGCGCCGGGTCGGACGACATAGCATGTATGTCGCCGACTCTTCGACCAGATGTTACCGCCACCAGAAACACAGCTTTCCAGGTCAACAACTGAATGGAAATAGCCCGATAGGTGTGAGAAAGTGGGACGGACAGCCAATCGAGCACGATCGACAAATCCTAAGGTGGACTGGTTCGCCTGAGAGCAGGTCGAATCCGTTCAGCGCCAGCTAGAAAGCTGCCGAGAGGGTGCTGCCCCAGAAGAGCACCATCGACAGGGGTGTGAAAAGTGGAAATAGCGGTGGAGTAGCCACGAATGGTCAGTCGCCAGGCCTTCTTCCAAACGAGCTTGCAAAAACTCCAATACTCGGACTAAATCCGCAGAGAAAAGGGATCTGCAATGCCCTATCTGAACACCAGCGCGCATAGCGGGACCACCTATCCTGCGTACTGAGCGTTTGTCGAATCCCCGCCTCGAAGCCAGAATTGTGTCTGCAACTGCTGCAGAATTCCAGCGTGCCTCGAGGTTAGACCTGACAGAGGCCAAGCCACCCACTGAATCCGTGGATTTGGGTGGGAAGCTCCGTTCTGAGTGAGAATGTCCGGTCAGCAAAGGTAATAGAACAGGAGGCTGAGCCAGAAACCACGAGAATTACCGGAAACCAGCTCTGTGACGACCAAAGCGGTGCCAGTAGCACAAGTAGCCGAGCTGGCTGGGTGGACAGCTGTGAAAGGACGCGGGGAATGAGTGGTAGCGGGGGAACGCCCAGAGCACTTTGCCGTCAATCTAACAGGGAAGGCGTCGCAGCCAACGCCTCTGGTCCGGTATTCCGAGAGCAGAACACGGGTGTCTGATCGCCCCGCCGGGGCGCAAACAGATCCACCTCGAGCGACCCATTACAACTGGGAGATTACTGTGAATATCTGCCTGTCGAGCATCCACTCGTGCGGGGCCAGGATCCGGCGAGAGAGCGCATCTGCTCGCACGTTCTCCAGCCCCGGGAGATAAACAGGGAGTACCTGACAATCGTACTGGTCGCTCCAGAGGAGAAAGTCCCACGCTTCCCGGAGGAGCGCTGGGGACACCGTGCCTCCCTGCTTCAGGATGTACGACATGGCCGTCTGGTTGTCTAACTCAGTCTCACAGTCCCCGAGCCTTCTCCCATTCCGGCAGGAATAGAGAGAGGCCGCCTCCCACTGGGATATGGGGTAGGAGCGCGTGCGTGGACCCTAGTAGCGGAGCTGACTGGGTGTGACACACGGCTTGAGCGGCAGCCTGTTGGGTTAACGGGAGGTCGGGGCAGACCTCCCGCGCCCGCGAAAAGGCTGGGAGCTAGTCGAGGACTGCTCCTTGCCCCTACCCTTGGCGGACCTACTCCTCCGCCTACCCCTACCAAGCAGCCGAAGCCAGCCGGCAGACTCGGGTGTAGGCTGCACCCCGGCGGAGGAAGGTGGCACGGGAGCTGGGGCGAGACACCAGCGGGTGCTCCAACAAGGCCTTAGAATCCTTGAAGGAGGTAGCTGCAGCGGCAGCCTCCCGTATGACCTGCTGTGCCCCGGGGAAGAGGTGGCTCCCAGGCGGAAAGGAGAGCCAGCAAGGTCTGCTGTGTTGCTGTCGAGTACCTAGGCGTCGACAGCCACAGCGGCGCATCCCCATGACTGCGCACATCACCGTCGGCGCAGCAGACCGCAAAGAGTCGGCGGCGGTGAGCCTGAACTTCCGACAGCTGGCGGAGTAGCACGACATCGCGGCGACATCGTCGCCAGCATGCCCCTCGCCTCCAGGGCCGACCTCTGTATCGAGGAGAGGTAGGCCTCATGGACCGCCACCGCACCTGCTGCATCGCGTTCCGGTAGACCTCCCTCGTAGGTCCGATGCGCGTGCCGCGAGGGCGCCAGCGGGCAAAAGGTGGAGTTAGGAGCCCTTGCCGAGCAGCCGGAGCTGCTCGGAGGAAGCCGAGCCTCCCCCCAGGGCGACGGAAGTGAAAACACACTCGTCAACGATCGGCACGACGAACAGGGAATCCTCCCCAAGCTGGTAGCGCCGCACGAGTTCAGGTAAGTCAAACCTGACTCGGGTACCAGACAAGAGGGGATCGACCACGTCCGCGAAGGGGCAAACGCCTCACCAGGTTGCCTAGGGGCAAACGCCTCACCAGGCAAGCGGAACTCAGTCGAGTCCACGCAACCAGCAGGCACCGCGGCCTGGGGTAGGCCCTCGGCAATTCTCTGCCGGACCTCCCGCAAGGCCGAAGCAAAAGGGAAGCTGCCGTCATGCTCCTCGACCTCCCCGAGCTCCATTGCCTCGGCGTCCGAGCCCGAGTCAGAGGCTGGGTCTCCTCCGTAAGAGGACCCTAACCCCGACCCGGTGGACTGCCTAGCGCTGGGCACCACAGGAAGGGAGGAACAGACCGACTGCTCCGTCGCCAGCGCCAGCCGGCGTCGTGGACCCGGTCCCGAGGCGCTGGAGGCAGGCCAGGCAGAACTGGTGCCTCCGCTCTCATGGGGCGGGTGTGCGCAAGGACCGAATACCAGGAATACTCAGCGGCCCAAGCGCGCAAGCTCCGAGAGGGACTGGGAGCACCTCCCTCTCCCGGAGCAGCCCGGCGTCCGGATCGAAGCCAGAGGCAGCGGATCGACAGAGCGCATCAAGGCTGAGGGATCGAGCAGCTGCCGGCGATCCCACCCGGACTCTCCGCCCCCGTCCGGAGTGGGTGAGAACTCCTGCGGAGACCTCCAACCGACTCACGGACGAAGGACTTCATCGAGTCCATCTGCTGCTGAAACATAGACTCCATAAGTGACATGTCAAAACCACTCCGGTGGCAGGAGAGGGGAAGGGCCACGGGATTTTTTCCCTTTGGAGACACGTTTGGTCTTTGGCGGGGAACCTGCGTCAGGTCCCCTCCGCCTCACGCATTTCTCGGTAGAAAAGTGTGCCGGCAGCCCGCCTCTTCTGGGCCCGGGGAAAAGGCCAGACAAATTGCACATGAGTCTGCTTCATGGCCTGTCTTCTCTAGACAGGCCACGCCAGCTGAGTGACTGTGGCCCGGGGATACTTCCCCACAGACCGAGCAGCATGAAAAGCCTGAAACAAACACGCAAACATGTTAGGTAGCGGCAGCCAGCAGCATATAAACACGTAGAAAACATTGAAAAACTACGTGAAGGTTACCCACGGAAAGTAATAGTTGGTTTTAAAAGCGCCAATAATGCGACCACAGCGCGCACGCTAAACTTCCCGCCATGGCAGCGCAATTACTTTGCGTAAACCACGGGAAAGTTCGGCGTATTAGAATTAATACAAAGTCACAATTATGAAAACAACCACTGTAAAGCTTTACTGTTCTTGTTTTAGACAAATAAAGACCAAACATACAGGTGGTGGTGTCTCAGACATATCTTTCAACAGTGCCGCACGGCTCATGAATGGGTACTTTCGTTTTTATAAGGTACACGTCTGTTCCACGGCCGTGACAGCAGAAGGAATGATGATACGGGTCTAGGAGCCTACCCAGTTGGTGCGCATGCGCTAAGGGAGGTAACTCCGTGAGGTAGGGTCCGTATAATATATAAAAGAGTTTATTTATTGTACAATCTTTTTATTCAAAAAACATTGATACAACTGTCACAGGACATTTTTCAGCCGGAAAATGCATAATATGTACCCCAAGGACGATCTCTCTGAAAAAGAACTTCAAAGTGGCGCTGTGACCTTGAAAACTATGTGAAGGTCACCAAAATCAACTGGGCCCTGTGCCTTCTACATGAAGATTGGTGTCAATCTAATAATATATCCCCCGCTTTGCGCTAACTGCGAGATTGACTGACCTTGTTCGTGAGGTATCGCTTACTGGAAACAGACGGCAGACGCAGGACTCGTTCCAGGGCATCTCGCACCAGCAAGTTGTCTGGTAGTTTAATAGGTGTCAGAACAGGTGTCATGTGTTCCATCTTGAACACCTGCAAGAGCATGGATATTGTGCATTAGACAACTTACATGCTGAAGTAATATGAGCTGGCAACCTTTAGGCAGTGGATCCCTTCACCTGACATGTACCCGTGAAGATCCAGGTTAGAATATTGATCTTCAGTAACCAATGCTTGTCGTAAGAGGCGACTAACGGGATCGGGTGGTCAGGCTTGCTGACTTGGTTGACACATGTCATCGGTTCCCAATTGCGCAGATTGATGCTCATGCTGTTGATCACTGGATTGTCTGGTCCAGACTCGATTATTTACAGACCGCCGCCATATAGCTGGAATATTGCTAAGTGTGGCGTAAACTAAACTCACTCACTCACTCACTCACTCACTTCACCTGGCATGCACTCATGCAGGCAGGCTGGAAATTAGCAGTGGCATCAATAACAAAGCATGACCCAGTTCAATGGGCAGGGCAAGATTTGTGTTCCAGAAAGCGATCACAGCGCATACTTCAACTGTCGCAGCGCTATAACCGTTTGGTGGAAAGTGGTCCAGAAGTCATTGTAACATCTAGTGTCCGTCAACTTCTGCTGACACTGGATAATTCCTACATGCAGATAAGTCTCATGTTGAAGCCACTATTCCAATCCACAAGATATATTTCTTATCCTGGCTATCAAGGCAACCATTGAAAGAAATAGGGAAGAAGGGCAGTGAAGGGCAGTTTGACACTGTCTTGATTTACCTGGTCTTGTCAGCTTTGCACAAGGAGCCCATTTACCTGCATTTAGAAACAGTGTCCTGATGTACCTGTGCCAGCTTGTCACTAGGACCTGATGGACCTGATCTGAGACAGCCAGCTAGTCACTAGAACCTGAGACTGTCAGCTAGTCACTAGGACCTGATCTGAGACTGCCAGCTTGTCACTAGGACCTGATCTACCTGAGACTGCCAGCTTGTCACTAGGACCTGATCTGAGACTGCCAGCTTGTCACTAGGACCTCATCTTAGACTGCCAGCTTGTCACTACGACCTGATCTACCTGAGACTGCCAGCTAGTCACTTGGACCTGATCTGAGACTGCCAGCTTGTCACTACGACCTGATCTATCTGAGACTGCCAGCTTGTCACGAGAACCTGATGTACCAGCTTATCACTGGGACCTGATGTACTTGCCTTCCTGGGCATGGACCCTAGCACATGCTCTAGCTCCAGATCTACGGGCAACACAGCATCTGTCTTCGCAATCTTTGACTCGGGTGTGTCCTCACCAGATCTTGAGCTGAAGTCTTGTAACTGAATCTGTAATGACCATAAACAACTGTCATGTTTCTCTCCATCACTGCGATCACAAACTACAGCTGTTTAATTGGAACAACAGTGACAAACACGGGGCCATGGTTATTGACAGGACAAGTAAAGAAATGATCTCGTCATTAGTTAATCTCAGAGCCAAGTGGGTCTCCTACTCCAGTATCTATGACACCTGGTTAATAGTTTCACAGGTGGCATCGCTTGACCTAAAGATGTTAACATCTACCTGAAACCTAAACACACTGAACTGCTCATATTATCATGAGCATAACAAAATGAAAACAAGTGAATTCCTTATATCATGGCAAATACATTCATACAAATGTGGTTAAAAAGTCAAGAAAATATTTGCCAAGGGCTTATGATGGAAGAGAGTTTCTATGGATGCCAACTTCTTTATTAGGAGGAACACAATGTGTCGGAGTATATCCTTATTCTGAAGCGTTGTGTTCCTCATAATAAAGAAATTGATGCCCTTAAAAACTCTCTTCCTTATGTGTATCAGTTCTAAATGCCATTCAAAGACCTGAAGGGTTAGTCAATTTGTACAAGTTAAACTGAATAGTGTACACAATTCTGTCTCTGATAACAGCATGGAGATCCTTATCACATCAAAGTATTGAGTTGTTATGTATCATGATGTAACCTAGCTATCTATCAATGATATAAGCCAGCTCACCCTCCCCGTCCCTGTGATTGTCCCCACAAAGCACACGGGGCACCTTTCTCTCTGCCCTAGGTGCTTCAGACACTCGGCATCTTTGGGCCGCACCAAGATGGCGTCACTCTCCTGGTACTCAGCACCCCACAGCTCCAGGATGCTGAGTGTCGGGTCGCCCAGCTGGAAGTCATCAGCTCGAATGATGGCTCCAGACGGCTCACAGATCTCTTTCAGGACATTGCCTGGAACCATTGATGTAACATCACAAATGAATACAGGCAATTAGAATTCCATCTTTTTTTTTCAAAATGTATTTACATTTTTAAGATTTTGGACAAACTGTCTCAAGGCACCACACGACAAGACTCACATCAGGCATATTCGAATGGACCCGTGTACATGTATTCCAGTAGTGAGTGAGTGACGTATTCCAGTAAGATCACGGAGGGGGTGACAAGAAATGGATTTCACACACTTCATAGCCATGTGGGGAATCGAACATGGGCCTTCGGCGTGATGAGCGGGCACTTTAACCACCAGGCTACATCATGGCCCTGTATTCCAGTAAAGCAAGTGAACGCAGGCAACAAATGTTTCATCATTGTAATGGATTAAGGCAGGTTGCTGGCAGAGTGGTAGGCAGACGAAAACATTCCTAGAATAGTTACATACCAACAAATGCTGACCAGAGAATATGGGTGCTTAGTGTTGATCTGGTTGGCAGGTTTGTTGCTTCACGCCACACTCAGCAATAATGCAGATATATGGCAGCCGTCTATAAATAATCGAGTCTGGACCAGACAATCCAGTGATCAACCCGTTAGTCGCCTCTTATGACAAGCATGGGTTACTGAAGATCATTTCTAACCTGGATCTTCACGGGTGTACAAGTGTTGAAGCAGACAGCCTTGTCAAATATAATTGGACTCTGCACAAGTGACATCAGGAACATCACAAACACACGTGAAGTAGTGATGGAGTGACATACCGTTACCCCCAGCACCCTGGTCGTGTATGCTACAGATCGGGTTTTTGGTCTCCAGCTCCACACAGCCCCGAATGAGGCGGTTCAGCTTCTGTTCCATCTCTGCATCTCCCCGCTGAACCGCTCCAAAGTCCAGGTCAGCCTTGTTGTCCCCCTGAACGTGCACAGACGAGGCTGCCCCTTCTCCCACACCGATCCGAAACACAGGACCGCCAATCTTCACAACCTTCATACCTGCAGGGAGACGTATTAGGAACCAACAAATCCAAATTTACACCAAGGCCATTTTAATCTGATCAAATATGAAAGCAAATTCGTACATCTACAAACCATGTAGAGTGTCCTGAAATGTCTCTCCGTATCAAGAATGTCTGTTTTCAGATTTGGAATGTTACCTTGGTATGCTTCATGGATAAACCACATATGGACACCAATAAGATTCTATTTAGCTACACAGAAACAAACCACAAATTAGCACTGATTAGGTATCCATTACAGGTCATCACAGCTGGTAAATCGTAGGAAGGATTATCTGTCCCATCTTGTGACAATTGGGAAGTGAAAGCAACATGGCAAGTAATAATATCAGTTCATTGTAAAACCACAAAACTAATTTGAACATTTGGTTCCAAACATCTTATAAGTAAATATCCTAACCTTTCTCTGTCTCGGCCTTGTGGACATGTCTGCCATCCAGCGTCCCGATCCCTCCGCTGAACATGATGGGCTTGATATACTCTCGCCTCTCACCTTCCGGGAAGGTCATCCCAAATGACCGGGCAAAACCAGCCAGGACCGGCTCACCGAACTTGTTGCCATAGTCCGAGGCACCATTACTGGCCTCCACAGCGATCTCCAGGGGAGGGGCAAAGTTCGGGGGATACTTGGCCTGCTCGTCCTCCCACGGGAGCGTGTAACCTAGAATGTGTGATGTAAATATACCTCCTTCTCTCCATGTGTAACCTAGAATGTGTGATGTAAATCATACCTCCTTCTCTCCATATGAAACCTACAAATGAACTGTTACAATACTCACTGAATGGCTCTGTCACAAATGACAGCTGACAGTCATCTTTCATGACATTTGTTTGTTTGTTGTTTACACAACCTCAATCAGAAGCCAGGGATTTAACTAGGCCTGAGAGTCTGATATTCAGCCCTAAGCCTGCAGCAGTGTCAGTAAATATTCCCTTATTAGCATTACAAACTTACAATTCCCTGTCATATAGCTCGAAGTAATGTGGCTTTGTGTGTGACATGTATTTCACAGATTAGTTTGAGACAAACAACAACATTTGCCAAGGTTTGCAGTTTGTAAAACTGGATAGACCCTGGAAAGTTTCCAACTGTATGATGGTGCTGTCAAAATAATCAAGTCTGGACCAGGCAAACAAATGATAATATTTGCTCTTGGGTGTGATGCAATCTATTAAGTCCCCAACACTAAGTCTCATTATACAAGAAACTTAGGTTCCCAGATCCCATTCCAGAAACCGAAGATGATGTCTCGTGTCAAGTAAGATGTACCACAGTCGCAATGCTAAGATATGGCACAGGATCCTCAAGCCCTATCTGGATGAGATTGTTCTCATGTTCATACCTAGATACCTTGATAACTAGGATCTTTAATGAGATGCATCAGGTGTGTCCACTCTATTATGTGTTTATGTCTTTGTCTATTTGTCTTTGACAGCAGATATTGACACAAATAGTTTGATGGGCATTTAGTACGAAACAAGATCCAGGTTAGAAATGGTCTTCAGCAACCCATGCTTGTTGTAAGAGGCGACTAACAGGACTGGGTGGACTTGGTTGACACATGTCATTGAATCTCAATTGCATTGATCACTGTATTGTCTGGTCTCTATTATTTGAAGACTGCCGCCATATAGCAGGACTATTGCCGATTGTGGTGCTAACAACGAACAAAATCAAGAAACAAAATTTCATGTTGAAATAGTACAGAACTATGGTCTGCAAATCATGAACAGAATGCAGAAAATGCAGTCTGGAATCTCACACATTTTTTGTTCTCTCCACGCATCCGATATATTATAGCAGCAATAGCCATTTTGTAAAATCTTAACTTTGATCCCTGACACAAAATGACATGGTAGCGGTGGGTGAGCTGGCTAGGGCGCCAGGCTAGTGATCCACCGAGCTTGAGGTGCCGGGATCGAGCCCACCTGTGACCAGGTGTAAAAAACCTTGGAGTCAACTTTGTGTGCAGACTCTTTCAGTGTTGTCACAACCCCTAGTGTACAGTACACAACCCTGTGCACTTAAAAGAACCCACAAATCCGTTGGTATATGACCAGATGGTGGCCACATGAATACGTGCAAACACCTAGTTGCGGGTACAGCAACGTGCAGTGAACTTGGACAAGGTACTGTGACTATATGTCCCAGTCCACCCAACTGTGAATGGGTACCTCGTTTGGATGAGAAAGCCACAATAACTCGGTGCGCCTAGTGGCAGCAAGAGTTGCATACTCCCCAGGGAGCTGAGATTGATAATACGATGTGCCGTTGAGATTGACATCCAATGATCGAGGGAAAAAATACCAGCACCTTGAAAATGCACGAGTTGCGTGGATATGTGCGCTATATAAATATACTATAATAATAATAATAATAATAATGCCGACGGTAGTAGGTCTGAACTATGTGCTCTGTGAAGCAGCTTACCTGGAATGTGAAGGTTACCAAAGCAGTAACCAGCAGTGCCTGCAACAACGTTAGCACCTCTGCCTGTGCTCTGAACATCACGGATACGCCCTCCAGTACCAGTTGTTGCCCCTGGAAACGGCGCTACTCCTGCAGAATCACAAGGATATTAGTAGTGGAAGAACAATGCCTGTTATATAGTGTCTGTATTGTGAAATGCATGGATACATATTGGAATCATATTGATGTCTCCATAAATACAAAAAGAAAGGGACTGCACTCTGTTTGTTTCTTAAACTAGTAGGACTGCAAAGGTATTACCGGTATATCGCAATTCTGTTTTCAAATGATACGTATTGCAATATTTTTACTGAGAACCGGTATATTGGGTAAAGAACATATATGAAGTTTCTGTGATTATCTTCATGGTTTAAAATCTACAGACTCTCATTCACAACAAATGTTTTCCTTCGTCGTTCAATGACAAAACGGCACACTGTAATACTATAAATTGTATTAAAAAGAAAATAGAATCCTTGACTATGCAACCTAATTTTGAGATTGCTGTTATCAGAACCATAACATATATGTTTAGGGATTTATTATGTACAAAACAGGATTGACATGCTCAATTAGTGTCACTCACTGTCAAACAAATTAAGTTCCCAATATATTGCAAAATGTATGGCAATACGGGTACATGAACCATAATATATTGCACTACAATTTATTTGCCAATGCACAGCCCTATAAACTAGTGATAAACATTATAAACATTTGCTATAGTAAATTTGTTTCATTTGTGACACAATGTCAGTTCCTGATTGTAGATTGTAATTCCTATACACAGAGGTAATTTGTTCGTGCCAACAAACCAATGATGCTAATGTCACAGGGTCCTGGCATGGCACAACTCCTCAACTCAATTGGGACCACAGTCAGCTGGGACACATATGTGACAATACTATAACGGTAATGCTATTTTTGAGGTCATTATCATTTGCAGAAGCCTGAGGTCTTCCATTAACTGCCCGACGAAGGAGGGTAGTTGAAAAAGACAGAGGGCTTCTGCAAATGATAATGCCCTCAAAAATAGCATTACCGTTATTATTGCTAAAATACATGGAATTTGTGTTGAAAAGAAAAAGGAAACAAAGAAGGAATTTGACTGTAAGTTTACTCAAAACCAACGTCTGGCGGGGTTGACTGCCCGAATGCAATTACGTTATCCAACAATTCAAGTGACGTCACAACAGACAGTGACGATATTCGACCTTGGCCTTTGACAAGACCATAGCCTGCAACATGCCAAACCATGTCAGTGTTCGGTTTTGGTCCAACAACAACGTTAATAGTGCAATTGTTGAGGTTAGCACCAGCAAGAAAGCCAATATTACCGCTATTTAAAGCGGGAATTCGGGTTGCTTTGACTTGTTTGACCCAGAATATCTGCCAGTCCAAAGCCAATGTCGAATGAACCGATGCACCCAATATGACGTCACTTGACAACAGAACTGATAGTGGCCCGTCGTTAAGGTTGAGCTGTCCAATATCATTTGCAGCGGCCCGCAAATTTCTGATAATAGGAGAGCCGTTTCATGATAATTCCATGTATTTTAGCAATAAATTTGTTCATCCCTTTGTTATAAGACAATACTTCAACTGTATGACAGTAAACTGTAATGAATCAAGTACTGTAAATCATGAAAGTAATGCGTCACGAATTTAATGCGATTGCAAGTGTTTAGTCTAAAATGCGTCACGAAATTAATGCGAGCTCAGGAATCTGTGTTGATGATAAAATGTGCAGCCTGAATCTTTGGTGTTGTTCTTTTTCTTTTCACACTTCTTATTTACCAAATAACCTGAATTGAGCTTGTTAAGCAATGAATGGAAATGAGCTGACAATGTTTTGATTACGCTGCCATGTTTGATCACGAGCTTCCTTGCTACTACTTGTCTTACGACAACATGTATAAACGTAATCCGATTTGAAAGACACAACTCATCTAACAAGGTACAACAAACAAGTGGCTGGAGAATGTCCGGTCTGGCTGATGTGCTTGAGTGACTTTAAACAACGACCAGTGATAATTACATGTGGTTTGAGATACCTGTAATGAGGAAGTGACCTGTATTTGTGTAATGTGTAATGTCAACAGATTTACGTTTTCTGTCTTTTATCAAATAGACATGATCAGACTGAAATGTGTCATTATAATAATGCGAGAAGAGTACAGAAGCATTTTTCGCATTAATAAAATGCTCGCATTAATTTCATGATTTACAGTATGTATCACACAAACAAGTGAGGTGAGGTGAAATGGGGTTTAATGTCGCACTTAAGAATATTTCGCTCATATGACAACGTGCATGCGTGTGTATGTGTGGCTGCTTGTACTAGATCAGATATAAGCTGGTTCTATAGTGCTAGCCCACTGGGATACCATGCCGCAGTGAAGCATGAACACCCCACTCAGACACATTATACTGACTCCAGGCCAACCAATCCTTGTTGTACCCATTAATGCCGAGCACCAGACGGGGAACAACCATATTTTAACGTCTTTTGGGTATGAAGCGGCTGGGGATGGAACCCGCAACCTTCCACTCTCCAGGCTGATGCCCTTACCACTACGCCATGGAGGCGGTCCACAAGCAAGTGATAGATATTATTGACAAAATTCGACGCCATATGGGAAACAATCTAATACATTCACACAAGTTGGATTGGTTTCCATATACGACTTGAGTGCAAGCGGAAGCTGTCTGATACACATTTTTAGAAGCTGGGTAATCACGAAGTAACATTTGTATAGAGTACAACTTCTTTAATATCGTTACGAGATTTTGGTATAGATTCTTACACAATTATCAAGGTGTCATTAGCTTGATAAATTATCAGGATCTTTACTGTAAAGTTGCCCTATAGACATTAAAGAAGTTGTACTCCATACAATTGCTCTTCGCAAGCAGAAGTCTGAACCAACCTGTTGGAAAGTTGTGAGTCTCTGCAGTGAAGATGACATGTTGGAGGATATTTTCTTTTTTGACCATCTTGCTTGGTTCAGTAGGTTCAGTCGGGGCCAGACAAGTGACCGGGTGGCCGTTGATTCCACTGGAGGGAACACAGAATAATGTACACGATCTTGTGATGCATTAAACTCTTTGAACAACATTTAGTGATACAATTGTTATTGCACCATTCATGTCTAGATTATTAATTCCTGGCTTCTATTTGTCCACTCCCCTTATCTATTCAGCACTAATGAGCTATTGGCTTCATTTGTTATCTATCACCGTTGTTTAATGTGCACTTATAAATATAAATATCTGTTTCCTAGTTTTTTTTCATTCACGTGATGAAGGAGTAAGAATATACTCTGAAAAATAAAGAAGCTAACATCAAGAAATTCTTGTCTTTGTGATGCATTATCATTAGGCAGACCTGTGTTTTTCACTAACTAAAGGGCCAGCATGAAGAAGGCCACACACCTGCTGACTGTTTAAGTATCACAGAAAACTATGACTGGGACATATTGAGTGACACGAATTATAGGGCTGATTCTCTACACCTACAAGATAATCAAGGTATCTCTGATCTACCATATTGTGGGTTAAAAGACAACATCATATCATATCAGCCAGGAAAATAAAAACTGTCAACATAGAGTTTGGGACATTTTGCAGAGGTTTTGAACAAAACATTTCACCAAAAACATGAACACAATCTGGATTGGAGAGTCATACAATATGATTTGCTTTTACATCCATTTACTCAGACACTATCTGTCTGATCCTTTAATCCAAGATGTTGTGATGTCACAGACATTCACAATGGTCAGGTTGAATATGGAGAACGCATCCTGTAGCGAAGGCAGACAATTTCATTGTTTTAAGTAGACCATCTTGTGACTGCTGTGGTATTATAGTGATATAGCAATCTCAGGTGTACACACATACCTGCTATTGTCATTGAACTTTATGATGTTGTTTTTGTTGCTGGAAAGCTGGGTGTCCATGATCATCTTGAAGAGTGACCGGTTCATCTCCTCGCCATCGATCACCATCCGACCCTTGAAGAACCAGTGTCGACTGTGTTCACTGAATATACAGTTATAGGTGAGTAGGCTTTGTCCAGACATGGTCAATATTAGACATCACTGGACAAGCAATTATTTCCATCGACATATGTTTTTCCATCATGAAGCAAAGAACTTTCAGCAAATACTTCAAGAATCAACCCCACTTAAATCACAAAGGGACCTTTGTTGTAACTCACCAATACAAGATTAATAGTGTACTTACTGCATACATTTATTTTGAACACACTAGCGTTAGAATTGGTTGAACTCTCACAGTTGACTCTCACATTACCAGTGAGCAATCATCGAAAAATATTGATTAGCATCATTTTGCAGATTTCCTGTTCAGGTTGTTAAGACATAAGTATACAGAAAAAAAACCATGAGTTTTTCTGTTGTTTTTTTTGTTTTATTTAGAAACTGTGCAAATTCCACACCCAATGTAAAATGATGCAACTTGCCCTTAAAGGGATGACTAACATATCACCCAGCCCTCAAGAAATATTCAGTCAGGACTTTTCAGTAAATGAAGTGAGGTTTCTAAGAATTAAACACGTTTTCAGGCCCTTACACTTTCTAAGATACGTTCCATCGTGAATTGTTTCAAACACTAAAACAGTAGTTCCAAAGTTGTTTGTGTTCGATTATGAGAAAATGTGATCGATTGCTTTGTTGTGTGGTCACTGGACCAATCCTCGATTATTTCAATAAGTCGGAACACCACTAGAACACATTTTGCAAAATACATATTTAGATTTCCAGGACCATCCATGATGCCTGGTCAGGAGGACTTTCAAATAGATATTTCAATTTTCAGGATTCTCCCTGATTCCATTCACTTCCCAGAGAGTGGGACTCTCACCTGTTTGACTGAGCCAGATCAAAACACTCCACGCTGGTTGGGTTCCTCTTCACTTTGTCTACAAACAGGTCGGTGTAGTAGTCGAGGTCCCAGTCATCAAACGCAAGACCTGCAATAGAATCAATGTCAGAGTAACAATGGACATGCAGAAACAATGTTCAGTTTCTTAGTGGAAACGATTTACTGAACACCCTTTGCTGTAGACTCAGGAACATTTTTTCCAAATTCTACCTCGCCTCACTGTCAATTGCCAATAAATTAGCTCCAGCTTCACTATATACTACAATTACTGAACTCCTATGAATTGAACTTAACAGTAACTCTAACTTTCGTGAAATCGCAAGTGATGCACCAGTGCATGTGATTAAAGGGAGATAACTCCTAAATTGTCTCCCCTTGAAACCAGCATCGATTCCCTTCTTACACTTAAATGATAAGAAGAATGAGTTCTCAACGCTTGTGATATATGTGCATCTACAAGACATCCAATAAATACCACTAGACTGTATTTGTAGCAATGCCACATTAAAATACCTTGAATATCTCAGCCATCTTTGCCAAACTACAATTAGTAGTTTGCTATGACTTTCTGTCAATAAAGCCATGTGACCACACAGCTTGGTTCCCATTCCTATTTTAACTACAGCAACTCCAAATAATCCCAGTGGTATTTCTTGACTTGAGAGATAGTCGATGAACAAGATGTGCTCATGTTCCATACAGTGTAAGGGTAAATAATGACCTTATCCTTCTATGAAAATTTAGCCCTCAATTAGCTTTTGGGAACAAAGGTATTATTCACATGAATTAAGAATGAAATCAAATTTTGTATTTAGGTTGCAAATTAAGAATGAAAGCAAATTCTGTATTTGGGTTTCAGGGATTGGGATAGAAAACTTTGCCCATTTTCAGGATTATTAGCCATTTTCTGAATTTAGAATGGGCCACTGCCCTTGTAACAATAGTATACTTCGAAATTTTAATGGGCCATTATATATTCTAATGTGCAAAATGGCCCATGGCCCCTGCTTTTCCCAATCCCTGGGGTTGCATGTTAAGAAAGGCATAAAATCCTGTATTTGGGTTGCAAATACATAACAAATGTGAATTATTCAGGAGTAATAGCAAGAGACAGGCTTCAAACAGCTAGTATGGCTGTCAATCCACAGAGCATCTGCATGCACTTCTCTTAAACAGAGCATCTGCACTGTCAGTGGCTGTACCAAATTTTGTTTCAATATTTTCATAAATAACACTTCTAGACACGATTCCCCTGTCCATGGTCAAGTAGTCACAAGAATGAGTGACCCCCCTCGCATAATAGGGTACCGTCTCACGTACACGTTTCGTCCTCTACTGGTCACATGAAGGTCAGCTGCATGCAGTTAACTTTAGAGTATGGTCAGTTGGTGACAGAAGCCTTACATTTTGGATGAGAGGGTGGACACTGCTGGCTGACCACCTGTTATACAATATGGGACTGCCTGTTATATTTAGAATTCTTTGTGTTAGTCAGGACTTGACCCTTCAAAAGGGTCTTGGCTGACGATTGCCTCCCGAGATGCTGTCTGTCCTTGGTGGTATGCAGTGTACTGATATAACAAGATCTCGACTAAAGTGTCATGGAACCACTGATTGATTCCTGTGTTAGAAGTGTTATGAGAGTGTGTTTTCTGTAATTTGTAATAACATTGATTAAGTGATAGTTATTATGGGTCACAATGTTTAAAGTTTTGAGTGTGGATTTTGGCTCGCATCTCGCATCATATGTTCAATGGCAATAGTATTTTTAGCGGCACGCCTTTTTGATAGCACTTCAGAGTTGCCTCCCTTGACAACTTGTTGACTTCATGCTGTGTGTTCCACATGATTCCATATCATTCCGAGAGAAAAATGGTGGAGCCTAGCTTTGCTAGAATGCTCGAGAACTGTGTAAGAGCTTATAAAGGTTGGTTGTTGAGTTGTGCCACAGGACTCTTCACATAGCTGGATTTATACAAATCTGTCTGCCATCGTCGAGTTTCTCAACCTTTCAAGACTGACCGTGCTTGCCTGCTGTGATTGTAAACAACCTTCAATCAGTTTATCTGCTCTCACTGTAAATGTCAAGACTCTGGTGAGTTAATATTTTATATTTGTGACCCAATATTTTAGATTTATGACTCAATTGCATTGTACTAGAAATCTGTATTGTCATTCATTGTAGCTTGCTCATTGTTAGTTCAATATATTATTGAATATTTTCAACTTGTATGTGTTCTATTTTGCTGGTTCAAAGGGGACTCTTAAACCTTTTGTCACGGTAAATTATTAACCATAACAGAAGACACAGATATCCCAAACATAACAGCCTGGGGGACTTGCAATTTGGTTTGCTGATCACTAAACTCATGAAAAGGAGACCATGATTTAGTTGCCTGGTCTAACCTGACTAGCAAGCGACTATCTTATCCAAACTCGATTAATTTGTCCAGGGCTTACCAAGTTCTTTGTTTGCTTCTTCTAAAGCTGATCGTCCACGCCCCATGATGTCCACTTCAAACACAGGCTCTGTCCGCACAGACAGCTTGAAGCTCTCCAAAGGTTTGAGGTATCTACATTGTGTCATACGGTCATGCAGTTGCGATAGAATGAGGTCTTCCTCTGCAGGTGAAGTTTTAGCATCGCTGGTGAAGGTAATGAGGTAGCGTGTGGATTCTTCGATCCTCGAGATCTTGCCAAGACCAACAGACTGGCAGATGGATACAGCATTCGTGGAGAATGCCGTAGAGAAGTTTAACCTTAAACAAGAGATTACAAGACATTTATTCTGTCATTCATTGTGTTACCTTGTCCAAGGCGGAGTTACTAGTGCGTTGATAAGAAAGTTACTACTGTTTTGTTATTAGAGTCACTGTTGGGATGTTATAAGATCTAGAGTTACTGCCGTGATGTTTTGCGAGTTACTGTTGGGATGTTTTGAGAGTTACTGCCATGATGTTATGAGAGTTAATGCTGTTTTGTAATGAGAGTTACTGTTTGAATGTCATAAGATCTAGAATTACTGCCGCGATGTTTTGAGAGTTACTACAGTTTTGTTTTGACAGTTACTGCTGTGATGTTATAAGACTGACTGAGTTTGGTTTTACGCGGCTTTTAGCAATATTCCAGCAACATCACGGCAGGGGACACCAGAAATGGGATGTTATAAGATCTTATAAGAGTTAATGCTCTGTTTTTATGGGAGTTACTACTGTGACCATATGAAAGTTACTGCTGCACTGTTGAGAGCTACTACTGCGTTGTCATGAGAGTTACTGCTGCATTGTTGAGAGCTACTGTATCAAGAAAGTTACCACTCGATGTTGTGAGAGTTATTTCTGTTTTGTTAAGAGAGTAACTGCTTTAATGACATGAGTGTTACTGCAACGTCTTGTACGTTACTTACCTGCCACAAAATGTTTACACACATACCAATGTTGTACATGGTGTGCTTGTCATTGATTGCATTTCGAATATGTGATGATGACTTTCATGTTTCCTTCATCAATACTAACATTTGGCGTCATTTTCAAAACATATATACATTGTTGTAATATTGAAGAAAAATCTAAGAAACATTCTACCTATCCATTCTTGGATCTTGCTAGAATAATTACACTTCATGTCCATCATGAGTTATAAGGTTCTGTTTTTATGTGAGTGACTCCCATGTGCAGTCATTGCCTGGGTGAGTGTAGTGCTAGAACTTCTTAGTAGAAGTGAAGCTCCAGCGCTGCATACCCAATGAATACCCAGTGAAGCACCAGCGCTGCATACCCAGTGAATACCCAGTGAAGCACCAGCGCTGCATACCCAGTGAATACCCAGTGAAGCAACAGGGCTGCATACCAGCGAAACATACTCAGTTAATACCCGGTGAAGGACCAGCAAAGCATACCCAGTGAATGCTCAGTGAAGCACGAACGCAACAGACCAGTGAAAACCCAGTGAAGCACCACAGCAGAATACCCAGTGAAGCACCAGCACAGCATACCCAATAGGGGTGGGTATTGCAGGGAATTTTCATATTGCGATGCGAAAACATATATCACGATATATATATTGCAATATATTGCAAGAAGTCTTTTTAACATAAAACCCTACATATAATCGCGTTAATGCTTGATTTATAAAGCCAAAACACAAAAAAATCACTATGCTTGATTAAGCTTTAATAAAAAAATTTAATCATGACAAAACAGAAATGTAAATAATATTTGGCACAAATGAAACAAGGAAACATCCGCAGATTTCCGAGTGTTACGAAGTTTTCCGAATACATGTAAAAATACCAGTTTTGATCAGCACATCGCAATACATATTGTTTTCATGTCGGAACCAGCAAATACCAGTAAACCGGTTATGTTGCGTAGCCCTAATACCCAGTGAATTACCAGCGCAGCTTACCCTGTGAATACCCAGTGAAGCACCAGCACAGCATACCCAGTGAATACCCAGTGAAGTACCAGCACAGCATACAAGGGAAAACCCAGTGAAGCACCAGCACAGCATACCCAGTGAATACCCAGTGAAGTACCAGCACAGCATACAAGGGAAAACCCAGTGAAGTACCAGCACAGCATACCAAGTGAAGCAGCAGCGCAGCTTACCCAGTGAATACCCAGTGAATCACCAGCACAGCATACCCAGTGAATACCCAGTGAAACAACAGCGCAGCATGCTAGTGAATAACAGTGAAGCAACAGCGCATCATGCTAGTGAATACCCAGTGAAGCAACAGCGCATCATGCTAGTGAATACCCAGTGAAGCAACAACACAGCATGCTAGTGAAAGACAGTGAAGCAACAGCGCAGCATGCTAGTGAATAACAGTGAAGCAACAGCGCATCATGCTAGTGAATACCCAGTGGAGCAACAACACAGCATGCTAGTGAAAGACAGTGAAGCAACAGCGCAGCATGCTAGTGAATAACAGTGAAGCAACAGCGCATCATGCTAGTGAATACCCAGTGGAGCAACAACACAGCATGCCAGTGAATACCCAGTGAAGCAACAGGGCAGCATGCTAAAGAATACCCAGTGAAGCAACAACCCAGCATGCTAGTGAATACCCAGTGGAGCAACAACAGAGCAAACCAGTGAATACCTAGTGAAGCACCAACACAGCATGCCAGTGAATACCCAGTGAAGCACCAGCACAGCTTACCCAGTGAATGCCCAGTGAAGTACCAGCAAAGCATACCCAGTGACTACAGAGCGAAGCAACAGCGCAGCATATTCAGTTAATACCCAATGAAGCAGCAGCCCAGGATATGCAGTAAATGCCCAGTGAAGCACCAGTGCAGCATAACCAGTGAATACCCAGTGAAGCAACAGGGCAGCATGCTAAAGAATACCCAGTGAAGCAACAGCGCAGCATGCTAGTGAATACCCAGTGAAGCAACAGCGCAGCATGACAGTGAATACCCAGTAAAGCAAGTATTATATAAATTATATTATATACATATACTCAAGCAGTATTGATGATGGTGGTGATGTTCACAACTTTACCTAGGTCCCACTTCTAGGAGGAGGGATGAGGGAGAGTCTTGTAGACTGGAGGTAGTCTTCAGCTTGTGGGCCTGGAATGGGATGGAAAAGATCCACTTCAGCTTCTTCTGAACCTTAGCACAACTCTGGATTAAGATGGGCTGAACCAAAGGAAGAAAAGTTTTCTTTACTGTTGCTGGCAGACACAGATGAAAAGGAGTAAAAGTTTGGGAAGGAACAACAAACTAAATGTTATATCATTCTGAACTGATAACTGTACACCAGTTACATCCACGATGTGTCAGATTAATGGGGAAAAACTCAAGTGATGCAGAATCACATGTTGACAACTTTAGTGGAAAACCCTGAGTGAGGTTACTGTGCAGACAAATCGAGGATTTGTACCCACAATGCACAATTGACTTCGCGATTTCCAGAGACAAGCCCAAAGTATTGCAAACAGTAGTTTCAAGGATCAAAATTAGTAGTTTGACCACATAAAATTAGTAGTCAACTAAACACTAAAAAATCATGACAGATTCTGATGAAAGATAATAGGGCACTAATCAAGAGTGAAGCTTTACCTTTTACATACAGCCAACAGCAGATTTCCAAATAGTTACTTGGAATGATTTCCAGTTCAAATATGTCATTAAATTGACTGAATGGAAGGTAGAGTGAAGTCCCGAAAATGCATTTCATAGGCTTAAAATATATGTTTTTGTTTGTTTACATATCGAGATTTTAATGAATTTTCTTCAAATTTGCTCAGAGAATTTCTAGTGCAATCGTGTTAGTAGTTGAGGCTGAAAGTTGTAGCAACTACTATACATGTCGTAGAGTTTGGCATCTCTTGCATTTCTCGTGATGGCCAGGCCACCCACATTATTATTTGAGCGGGTATTCCACTTGTTGATCAGGTAAACTGAATACCTTTTCAATCAATGTTGTAATATATGGAATGATTTCTTCAACTACGATGCAGCCTTCAATGCAACCTTCTATGGAGGGGTCTCACACCTTACCTGCCGAAGGCCGGGGCACAGGCCCTTTGAGTTTTTGCAAGGATTAAAGATTTTGTAAAAGTATATCAGTATTCAAGATGACCCCCAGACTCAAAATGCTTCACTAGTACAATACATCATGACAAGAGGCGACACGCCGTTTGCACCCCCACCAGCCCACCGGCGCTTCGACCACACCCCTCTGTTTATTGTGGACACATCAGTCACCCATTCTCGTGGTAAAGATCGCTTTTAGTTGGAGAGTCAAAATCGGTTTTCAATTGACCTGCAGAAATAACAATAAAAGCAAGGTGGTAGGTGTCATGAATGGTGCTTTCGATAGGCTAATCACTCCAAGACTATTTTATACGTTAGAAGTCTTGACTGCATCTCGCGATGGTAGCGTAGCCAGAGTTTATCGGCCAAAACAGGTAGAGTGGGAATCACCACCGAAGTCCGTCCATTATCATGATGTATTGTAACTGTGCAGCATTTCGAAGTTAGGGTCATCTCAGCAAAAATATTTATCTTTCAGGCTCGGGCAAAGACATCGCGTGACAGCCTGTGGGTTACGATTCCCTACATGGTGCAATGTGGCGGAAACCCATTTCTGGTGTCCCCACCATATTGCTGGAATATTGCTAAAAAGTGGCATAAAGCTGAAACTCACTCACACTCCATGGAGGTGTCCTGTGATTGGATACAGAGTGGAAAGAATCAAGGTAAAAAGACCTGATTCAAATAAGATTGATGAAGCCTGGGAAGAATCAGACTTTGTGACTTCGGATATATTGAGAGGAGGGATGTCGTCCAGATTCAAAATTTCTGTAAGTATCTACTAGCATCTAGACATGAACGGCCCTGGCCGGACCGAAATGAAGTTAAGTTTTCCAATGCTTTTTAGGAATATTCTAGCAATATTACAGCGAGGGACACCAAAATGGATTTCACACATTGTAACCATGTGGGAAGTCGAACCAGAACCTTCGCCTGATAAGCTTAACACTTTAACAACTAGGATACCCCACCATACCCTGAATTCACTTAGATGATGCTAGGACAAAGTCAACTGCCAGAATTTATTGGTAGCGCTTTCCAAATGTTGTCAATCATTTACATATTTGTTTGGTGCATTACACCCCTCAAGTAGCAACATTTCAGTCAATATAGCATGGTGACTGGCAGTGAATATGGTTTTCACGCCACTTTTAGCAATATTCCAGCAACATCACGGCAGGGGTACCAGAAATCGGCTTCACACATTGTACCCATGTGGAGAATCGAACACAGGTTTTCGGCCTGCTGAGAGAACGCTTTAACCACTAGGCTACCTCACCGCCCATATGGTGACAGACTACCAAATATGTGTAATAAAGCCATGGTTGATATCAACATAACTTGTCGGGCCCTGGTTACATGCCTGACCACTTGATCCAGTGTCTCAGCTCTCTGAGTGCTGAGGTTCGTATTCTTAACTGAGATCATACTTAACTGTTTTGGAAAAAGGCTTACATTTTCAGTTGTGGTTTGATTGATCGTGTCAATCAATCGGGCTTGATGCTTTATGAACAATTCGGTCCAAGTGAGGAAAGGGAGTGAATGGAAAACAATATCACGGCGGGGACGGGATTGGCAAGCGATTATCGGTAGTCTCAGGAGACTAGTGTCGATGTTTGCTGAGTAGTGAAGTGATTGTTTTATGCTGCTAGCAATATTAGAGCAATATCGAAATGCTTCACCACATTTTCACGATGTTTTATTACAAATAAAATATCAAATTAAACTTTAGAGAGTATTTTTCTAATTGTGATGCTGGTTAAATCAACACAAATTCAACTGATGCAGTTTCCTGTACACCTAAGTAAAACTGAAATGTAAACAATATATTCATATGTGTGTCTCAAGGAATTACCACGATTGCAGATCATTGTTAAATAAAGCGAGTAACTTACAGTATTATTAGTTACACTGCTATACTCAGTGTAACAAACCCTAGTAGAAACGCTGTCAGCTAACCTTTTGAACTGACCAATGAGAACACAACATGGCGTTTTGAACTTTTCCATATTGAAGGATTGTAATCTTTGCACACGAAGATGCAATACAAGCAATAGTAACCATGTCATTCAGAAACCCTAAGAATATATGCATGTCATCAGAAAGCAATATATACTGCAAAGCAAGTATCGGTGTTTTAAGCGGATTTTCCTTTGTTGAAAGATCAGTGTCAGCAACAGGGAAAGAGAAAATCCATGAACACTTCACACAGAAACTCAAAATGAATTCTGAAAAAATTGAAAAGATTAAACTAGTCATTGGTGATTTTGAAAGGGAACCATCGTGAACTTGGACAGTCGCTCAAAGGTTAACTGACGCGACATACTGATCTAAGTTTACTTAGACTGGTTATTTTCCACATTACCTTTGTCCTGGGGTTACGATTACAATATATCATTGAGTGATTGCTGATCTCTGATTATCGATCTGCATACTGAGACTGAGAGCATTGACCAGCACTAATTTTCAGGCAGCCTTTGTGATTAAGTAAATATATATGTTTCAAGTGTTCTTAACTTACCAATACCATCATTCTGTACATAGATACATGTTTCCGTTTCAAGACTTTTGACCAAAGTCCCTTTTAAGACTTTGTTGATCTTCGCAGTGGTTACTTCAACTGCTCCTTGGCTTAGTCCCGGACATCGGAAATATCGCAACACCTCCGGCATCTTGGACACCTGCCAACAACAACAGGCAGTTATTAAACATACCAAACATCAGACAACTGATAAACACACTTGACCAGCACAACGGACAGTTATTAAATATACCAAACATCAGACAAGTGATAAACACACTTGACCAGCAAACGGACAGTTATTAAATATACCAAACATCAGACAACTGATAAACACACTTGACAAGCAAAACGGACAGTTATTAAATACACCAAACATCAAAGACAGCTGAAATACACACTTGACTAACACAACAGACAGTTATTACATACACCAAACATAAGAGACATCTGATAAACACACTTGACCAGCATAACACAGAGTTATTAAATAAACCAAACATCAGAGACAGCTGACAAACATACTTGAGCACAGATTATGCATAGAACGGTGCTGTAAGATTGAACCTAGGAAACATTTTAACCTGGGAATATTATGAAACTACACAATTTTTCACTATCCTTGAACTATTTCTTAAGTACATTGCTTCCAGACATGGCTCATGAAGCATTACAACTTCTACATTATTCCTCCTTGAACTGTAATAGTTCACATATATGGCGCTCATATCCAGGCACATTGCCTGCTCACGGCGGTACCTGCATTACTATCCCCGGTCACAGGACACTATCGTAGTTTCCATCACTTTTTCAACTCCCTGGGGACGATACAGCTTCTACATTATTCCTCCTTGAACTATCACAGCTTCTTCATTACTAATCCTTGATCAACAGAATATATGTTTACAACTATTTGAGACAGCAGACAAGCAGGCATGACATGAATAGAACCATAGTAAAGTTACATTTGTGACAAATTGTGCGAATTCAGACAGATCAAACATCTACAGGAAATATTTCATTGTTTCTGGATACATTTATACCATGAGCATCAACCAAGATTCACAATAAAGGTAGACTAGACATATATAAGCCTGTAATGTAGAGATGCTGTTTCAAGAGCAGTGAGCAAGAATATAACATCAAGATCATGTGTTTTTCATTTTCTCTGCATGGTAACATACACTAGGCTGATGGACTTCTGTCTTTCTCGACACTGGATTTGTGTATTGTAAGCTTGCATGTTGGTTGTGTCAAAGTCATAACTAATCTTAGCCTTGAAGGAAGACAACAGAAACCGTTTTTATTATATTGTAACAAAACGTCGCACATCTTCAGAGATCTTTCCGAACAGGCTGATCAGACAACTAGTTTGTTTAATACACCTTGGATGTCCACCACTAACACATTTATATCTGGCTTAGCCCATGGTCGCGTGTTGAATAACTGTCAACAACACGAAATTGACATTGAAAATGGCTTGTTGTGTTTGTCCTAGCATGACTTTCGACATGGAAATTTGCAGAGTTTATGCAGCACTGATTCACCTTTGCATCGTTCATTGAATGCATTCATGTTTCTTAAATTCAAAATATGACATTTCATCACCTGTTTACTTTCAGAACGATGTCAATTTCCCGTGTGATAATGACAACATCATTCGTGAACCACGTGTTTCCAGTTCGCAATCTCCCGCCGATTACGGCGTCAAATAATACACGACGGTTACCTCCCTTGCATTAGCTTTTGTTAGAAGTATTCGGGTTATGACTGGGTTATTTCTGGGACCTTGAAAACAAAATACCAGCAAGGCCTGGTCATATATAGGAGAATCTCAAAAGGGGCCTAGAAATAGGATTTCGTAGCCTCCCCAGTACTGATTTTGTTTGACACTATTTTCAGTTAGTATGATGTCTTGGGCTCATGAAAAGGCCTGTAATACTCTCAGATTGTGGTATCAGGTTTTTTTTACAGGCCATTATATGTGGTGGGGGTCTGGGGGCATTTTCGTCACATTTGGTTTGCTGCCCGACAACACCTCAAAGTTAATCATTAATAGTTTTACTACTATCAATCTGATCACTTTCATTTTGACTTCTGTGTACTGCTAAAGGATGTAGAAATTATTTGACATAATTTTGTTTTGAAAAAAAAATCAAAATGGCCGCCATTATGGCCGCCATTTTGTTTTATAAATGTTTTGCCTTCTCAACACTTAAATCTACATAAAAATGAACACCGAATGTTTCCATTTACATCCAAAGTTGATACTTTTGATGTGTTTTGACACTTGTTTCTCCTAGAATGATGGCTTGGGCACAAAACAAGTCATTTTGTATGGTCATAGCATGGTAATTTAATGTTTTACAGCTTATTCTTTGAGACAGGGGTATTTTGGCATTTCTCAGACTTTTCATGGAAATGTGTCAGAGTGATTTATTTAATGGCAGTTAACATTATTTTTGTTACTAAAACAAGTTGTTTTTGTTTTCTCTTTACTTCTAGAGTGACGGCATGTTATTAGGAATGTTTACATATTACCCAGAATTCAAAATGGCCGCCAAAATGGCCGCCATTGTAGTTTAACTACATATACTTAGTGGAGGACTAAATTTGTACTGATATGAAATCCAAACAAATCATTTGGTGTCTAATGTTGAATACAGTATAGGAATAGAGCTAAATTTCAATGATAGGGTCAATCAAAGCTTCACACTCCTAAAATATTTGATGAAATAACATTATCCAAAAAGTGTTTGAAAACTATGCTTCATGGCCGATAACTACGTCTAAGCTTTGGTTGTAGGCATTCAAATTGTTCTATCAGATAACTCTTAATCACTTTTGATACATCCATAAGCTTGCAATTAACCCTCTTTTTCACTTTCTTTCATTTCATATGTTACTTCATGTCACAATCGGACCTGTGAAGATCCGGGTTAGAATGGACCTTCAATAACCCATGCTTGTCGTAAGAGGCGACTGACGGGATCGGGTTGTCAGGCTCGCTGACTGGGTTGACACATGTCATCGTATCTCAATTGCGCAGATTGATGTTCATGCTGTTGATCCCTGGGTTGTCTGGTCCAGACACGATTATTTACAGACTGTCGCCATATAGCTCGAATATAACAGAGTGCGTAAAATTAAACTCACTCACTCACTCATGTCAGAATCGGAGTCATCTACTGGCAACAAGTCAAATGTGTTCGGGCAACAATCATCTGCCATACAAAAAGACATGTCTCTGTGCACACTATATCATTCTTTCTGTTGGCATGCTGACTTTTTGCATTTACACGATGTCAGTTCAACCAATCCACGGGGAGCAGGATCTCTCGACATCAGAATAGCTGACCATCACAAATGCTCCAACCATGGTTAACTGGTGAAGGGATGTTCATGATTGGTTGCAGAGACTGTTTCCAAACATAGACTTGGTAGTTTACTCTTTCAATGTGATGTTTTAGACTGTTGGATGTTGGTGGGGGTTTTCATTCAATATTTTGTGTCATCTACAGACATCACTGGATTATTTGGTACATGCATAGAACTCAGAAACTGGCCACAAGATATAATGAGTGTTTCTTGAACATCCAAATTGTCATCCATTTGTTGTGTGAAGCTTCTCATCCCTGGGCTTTACAGCCTTTTTTGGAATCAATGTAGAAAAGGTTTTCAGGTTCAGTCGTTGTAAAGGTGACCACAAGTTTGTCCTGGAAGAGTTCAATCGACTACCTATGATGTTATCCCTTTGCTCTGCCCCAATCTGTTTAACATGCAAGAGGCTGTGAATCATATCCTTTGGGACAAAAACTCCACTTCCAATGTTCACAAGATGCAGACATCATTCATTTGGAAGATTGAATGGATTTGTCATCAACCCTGATGTGAACATGGACATTTCTAGTGTTCATTTTACAATGGCCCATTCAGATGGAACATTAAGAAAGAACATCAAAAGCGGTTTGTTAAATGAACTTTAAAAGCTTTTGGTCCTTCGCTGCTTATACTAGCAGAAGAGAGAATGTTGCCAGTTCATATAGTTGATGGAATGGCAAAATTGCAAATGTTCAGAAAGGGAGCTGCTTCCACATTTGGATACTTGGCTGATATGCATTGAGACAACTTCACTTCAATTCTGAATCGAACAGACTGTATTAGAGTTGATGTTGTTCACCTCCGTATCAGGATCAGGTTCGTTTTCGCAATGTTCAGTAGGTATACAGTAAAAGTGCATACACAACCCCATCCCCTGTTGGGAAATAGTTCTTATTTGACCTGATGAGTCCTACACCTCATGTTACCTGCAACATATATTGGATTACCCCTTCACAACTAGGATGCGAGTGCGCTCTCTCTCTCTCTCTCTCTCTCTCTCTCTCTCTCTCTCTCTCTCTCTCTCTCTCTCTCTCTCTCTCTCTCTCTCTCTCTCTCTCTCTCTCTCTCTCTCTCTCTCTCTCTCTCTCTCTCTCTCTCTCTCTCTCTCTCTCCGATGTTGCGACAGGAGATCACTGCGCCATGCATGCCTTACTCTTACCACCCTGTATGTTCTGAATGCCAACCTTCTTGCCATGACAACAAATATTAATTTTAGTACTGTCGTCTATTAAAACCGGTTAGAAAACTCTTGTACACATACCGAAAATTATGAAAGTTATACCCCAATGTTCTTTTCGCCTTCGAAGCACCTGAACATGGGACCGATCGCTTCTTTATTCAGGTATTGTGTGAAGCAGATGTTTTACATGTTCATTCCATTACGCTGGACTATATGATTGCCTGTTTGGACTCAAATTGCCTTGGACCGGACAATCCAGTATATAGATAGGGTACCGATCTAAGCAATTATGTTTGGCATGTTGCATTTAAGACAAACATGAAGATACTCTTGAGTGTATTGCCCTGAACTGTAACTGACTGTACAGGAATAATTTCAGGCCAATGTAACAGAGCAATATATGCGTTATCTAAGTATACACAAATATCTTAATAAAGCACCCCCTGTATTTTTGCAATTGTACATAAAACTTCTCGTGGTGAACACGGTGGAAAAACATGAGAATTTCTGACCCGTATGATCCTTTGACTCATAAAAAACGACAAAATGACTGTAATCAGTGTTGATTTTATGATGATAATTGCTCATTTTAAAAAACACCCACCGATTTTCATTAAAGAAAAACAACAAAGTCTGTACAAATATGGCCCCGAATGTTTAATGTTGAATTTATTGGTGAATGTGAACATTCAAAATGTCATCTTGCGTGTCGTACACGATTCGAGGTCAATTCTGAGTGTAACCTCCATGTGACTGTATGACAGCCATCACTCTCCTCCTCATACCGCCTGTCAGCCTCCTGATCGTCTGAAGGGACAGTCTATCCCATTACTCGTGTAAAGCAGCTTCCAATTCGGCCAGGTTGTGTACAGGGGGATCCCTTTGTTGCACACGACGACCAATGATGTCCCAGAAATGTTCCAAAGGGTTAAGATCGGGGCTCATTCAATAGTGAGATATGTCAGGGGGTGTTGAACTAAGTTCTTTGTGTATATCTATGTACTGGTCACCGTATTTATGTAGGCGGATATGCATTATTTTGCGACCAACAAATTGTAATGTACTGAACCGCAAAAGAAACGTCACTTTTCAAAACTTTGTTCTTACGAGGTACCCGCTTTGTTAACATGTTTTTCTATCAAAAATGGACAGTTGTTACCAACACCAGCGTGTCTTCTGATGATAAAGCATATCAACCAAACGAAACCTAAAAGGCAGATGCAGTAAAAGGCTTCGTGTGACATTCGTGAAAATGAAAATGCACGTGCATATCGTGACAACACCACCAATGAAAGCGAGTCCCAATCTCGCCTGAAATCATCCTTGTGTTGACACAATCGCCATTCCACAACTTATGAAAGATCAGAGGAACCAAGCCTTGTGACGATTGCACCAGACTGCACGGAGGGCAGAGAATCATTTTAATGTTCATGTTAGGACAATCTGCAGACTGCATGAGCGGTATCAGGCTACTATCAGCATCCGAGACGCGCCGGACGACCTTCTGTAACATCTCAACGTCAAGACCGACATATTATGCGCAACAATCTGCAGGATCGCTTCACCAGAGTGACGGAGACAGCATGTCAGACCACTGGGACTCACAACAGACCCGTCAGTCCCGATACAGTACATCGACGTTTGCGCGGGAGAAACCTCTGCTGTCACAGACCATATCGTGGTCCTGTCCTCACCGCTCGTCACCGCCCAAACCGACTGCAATGGGTAATTCATTTGGCGTTATCGACAATGGAGAACTGTGTTTATTCCGATGACAGCCGATAATGTGTTCCGACAGCCGATGGCAGAGTGAGAGTATGGCGAAGGCTTGGGGAACGGTTTTCCAATGGGTATATTGTTGAAAGAGACTCGTGGTGTGGTCCAAGGATCATGGTGTGTGGTGCAATCGGTCTGAACCAGTTAGTTGACACCGTGGTGTTCCAGAATCTTGGTCCAGCATGAGGAAATGACGTGACAGCTGCTCGCTATAGTGACAAGTCACAAGACCCAACGTTGTACCACATTTTGGACGTCACAGATATCCCACCTTCCAGCAAGACAACGCTCGTGCCCACTCTGCCAGAGTAACATTGGACTTTCTAAAACAACATGGCATCTAAACTCTACAGTGATAAGTCCAATAGAACACTTTTGGGACGCGATTCTGAATGACTGAATGACCTCCAACCAAGACCGGTAACTGCGGCTGGACTCGATCCATGATTTTGCAGAGTATGGACCTGAGTGCAGGCATGGCCTTTATCAACCCGTTAATTCATTCCATGTAGATCTACATACGATGCAACGCCGTTATCAACGCCCATGGAAGCTACGCACCATACTGACTTTGAGGTATCCTAATGGTACCATCCTTTGGTGATTTTGTTTGTGTCAACTCTAAATGTGATTCCTGAAAATGTGTTAATCATAATTGTCAGGTCTGAACTCAATCCTCCCTTTTGATTGTTAATTAACGTGTGTGGTTTGAGAAACCTCTATCGGTGTGGCGTTTCTTTTTCGGTTCAGTATATTTCAGTTGTACAGACATTTCATTTACCAGGTAAGCATTGTGTATAGATATGTGTGTACCTCTTCCTGTTAAGATATTGAACATCACGGGTAGATATATATGGGCATGTATTAAATTCATTCATTCATTTGTCAACAAATGTTTCCATTTTGTCGGACATTGAACTTGCTCCAATACATCAGTGGAAAGTCCTAGTTTCAGTAATATCTAAATTGTTTTATTTAGAGCGTGACTGCGGTGGTAGGTTTTCTCAAACAGGATTGTGACTGACAGTGCATGTCTAGAAGCACATACTGAAAGCTCCAGCACAGTCACCTCCCCACCATAAAGTATATGAATTCATTGTGACAAGTTCTCTCTGAATGACTTGTTATTTTTCTGCTTTATTACGGGCTGCTGAACAGCACTGTACTGAACCATCGCGACTTTGTTCATTCACTTTGTTTGCTTGCCAACCAATAATTTAATCACCTCGAAGATGGGATGTTGTTGGCCTGTAACCTTTTTCAATCTCCCGTGCCCTCCTTTCAAGTAGTTGTTTGTGCAGTGTCCACCATTGGTGGTTCCAATCTGATAGCTGCTGGTCATCTCTTTCCAGTAGATGGTGGCATGGTCAGCAGCCTGCAGGACTATGTAATCTTGGAGCATAGCAGCAAGTCTTAGTCCGACATGTTCAACCTTAAATGTAGAGAAAGGACAACCCCAGAAACAATGCTTACAATGATAATATTCACTTCAATTTGCCCTTTGTTATGTGTGCGGAATACATATTAATATTCACATATAAATTTTCATATAAATATTTTCAAATACACACACATGAAGTAACTTACGTTTCTAACAGGCACCATGAGCAAAACGCAGAACGACATTTGGTGGTTGCTTGATAACGTTGTTAGAACCCACACTGAAACGTCACTCTCGTGGCAATAAAGAAGTTGTTCATCAATTGTTTATGGCCAGTTAAATAAACATCGCCGTGGGGTGTTGTTATGGTTCGTGAACACGACTTACAGCGTCCGGACTGTGAAGCAATGTACTGTTTATTTTACTGATTAAGTTAAGCACCCCTGTATTTTTGGCAATGGCAAAATTTCTCGTGGTGAACGGTGGAAAAACATGAGACTTTCTGACCCGTATGATCCTTTGACTCATAAAAACGACAAAATGACTGTAGTGCTCATTTTAAAAAACACCCACCGATTTTCATTAAAGAAAAAGCAACATGTCTGTACAAATATGGCCCCGAATGTTTAATGTTGAATTATTGGTGAATGTGAACATTCAAAATGTCTCATCTTGCGATTCGAGATCCAATTCTGAGTGTAACCTCCATGTGACTGTATGACAGCCATCACTCTCCTCCTCATACCCCTGTCAGCCTCCTGATAGTCTGAAGGAGGCAGTCTACTAATTACTCGTGTAAAAGCACCTTCGTGGGCCAGGTTGTGTACAGGAGGATCCCTTTGTTGCTACGACGACCAATCATGTCCCAAAATGTTCTAAAGGGTAAAGATCAGGGGCTCATCAATCGTGAGATATGTCAAGGGGTGCTGATTTAAGAAACCTCTTTCGGTTCAGTATATTTGAGTTGTACAGACATTGTATGTACCAGGTAAGCATTGTGTATAGTTATGGAGTGTACCCCTACCTGTTATAATATAGAAAATCACGGGTAGATATATATGGGGACGTATTAAATTTATTCATTCATTTGTCAACGAATGTTTCCATTTTGTAGGACATTGAACTTGCTCCAGTACATCAATGGCAAATCCTTGCTCCAGTAATATCTAAATTGTTTTATTTAGAGCGTGACTGCGGTGGTAGGTTTTCTCAAACGGGATTGTGACTGACAGTGCATGTCTAGAAGCACATATTGAAAGCTCCAGCACATTCACCTCCCCAACAGAAAGTCTATGGTTTCATTGTGTCAAGTTCTCTCTGAATGACCTGTTATTTGTCTGCTTTATTACGAGCTGCTGAACAGCACTGTACTGAAGCATCGTCACTTTGTTCATTTACTTTGTTTGCTCGCCAACCAATAATTTGATGACCTCGAAGATGGGATGTTGTTTGGCTGTCACCTTTTTCAATCTCCCGTGCCCTACTTTAAAGTCTTGTGCTCCGATATAGCTGACTTATCATTTTGTTCTTTAGCGTGCTTATGTACTGGTTGTTGAAGCTTGGATAACTTTTTGACGTGAGTTAACTTTACTTTCTGATTGAGCTGGTCTCTAGAGGATTGTGATAATGACATTGAGACTGAGCAGAACCGGCAACTTCCTTTCCTAGATGTTGCCCTCCAATCTACAGACAAAGGTCTCGTCACTTCTGTGTACAGGAAGCCATCTCACACGGATCAGTATATCAATTACAACTCCTGTCACCACCCACAGATCAAACAAGCAATTATTGCTACTCTCACTAGAAGAGCCAAGTCGATCTGTCACCCAGATAATTTAAACAGTGAAATTGATTACCTCAAGAGAACCTTTACTGTCCTCAATGGCTACCCAGCCCGTCTTGTCTCCAGGACTATCACCAAAACGCTTGAATCATCAGAACCGCGCCTCAAGCCTGAACCATCCCCGATCAGGATCACAATACCCTACGTGGGACCTTTCAGCCATCAGATAGCCCGACTAACCAAGAGCAAAGCGGGCTTTGATGTAACTTTCTCTAGCGGTACAGCAAATAAGACCTCCTCCAGGCAAATGGAAGAGGATCTAGCAATGAAAACCCCAACCCTAGAGGATGTGTATGCCAAATACCATGCAGCTGTGGCGATCAATATATTGGCGAGACTCTCAGGCCCATTAACACCCGGGTTGCTGAACACAAGTCGTCAGTATGCAAAAAAAATGATAAGTCAGCTATATCGGAGCACAAGGCAACTAACCCAAGTCATGTAATCATGTGGAATGATATTGGGGGTGATTTCGAGAAATAACAACGACTGGCGTCGGAGAAAACTACAGGAGGCTGTCGAGATAACGAGACATAAACCAGCAATGAATCGTGATCAAGGTGTATACCTGCCAAGTGCGTGGGACCGCTTGATTAACTTTTAATGAACTTTAGATAAAAGAAAAACGAGTCTACTATTCTTTTTTTGAAAGCCTGCTATCAAGTAACCTTTGTGTAATTAGCAGTTGTTGTGTATTGACAATTCAACTTTCAACTATATTATTTAGCATGAATTTCATCATTATGTTATTAACTCTTCAAACTCACTTGTACAGTACTCTCCCTAGTGTACTGTGATGTCACTTCTTGCATTGTGACGTCATAACAATGCATTGTTCACAGTAATGGCATACATGAACAGTCTCACGGTTGCTTACATAGTCTTCATTTCCTCCAATTGAATACAGATTACATTACAGGGATAATTAGGGTCAGGTGGTTTACATGCATTAGCGGTATATTTAAACACGGGAGTTATACAGATACATGTTGTGATTGGGGTTGTAGAGGTTGGACAGAGGCAAACACGAGTTCCAGGTCTGTAACAGCCGTAACTTGGTAGGTGATACAATATCTTTTTATACGCATGCATATATTTCGTGAGTTCAAACAGCATCATGATGACCGACACAAAAAGGTCTTACACAAAAGGTATTATAGTTAATATGTAAGCCTGGTCATACAAATCTGATCACAAAGAGTCAATCAAAGCAGGGAGACTATATAAGGTTGTAGAGTATCCCTGATCAAAGGAATCGTTTTTAACCCGTATTGTTGATGGAGTATGACATGTATTATGCGGTTATTTACTACTCTGATTGGACATGAACACTAGTTTGTAGCTAGGAAGCAGGAGTACGAAGCGTGGCATTTCTATTCCAATACTCTTGCTACAACTTCCTCTGCCACACACACGCTAATGCATTTTGTTTGCTGTAAACAGGCCACATGTGCACCAACTGTCTAAGGCATTGCAGTTTGCTGTTCACTGTGGAGTGACTAAGACTTGACAGAATCCAGTGAGCAAGGTGTACCAGGGTTATGTTTGTGGGTTTGTCAGCACAATACCCGTGCTCTCGCACACATCACTACAATTACTAGACCTTTGTCAAGGGACTGTCCAGAAGCCGGCACAGTCTCTTTTCTTCACGTCAAGTTCATGTACGTTATGAGACGTTCATTCAAACGACCATCATGTTAGTACTGGGTTATATCTATATGCAATACAATACCACGTGACTTGCAGGTAATGCAACGGTGCACTTGAGAGTTCACGAAAAGGGCGAATTCAGTATACGCTTCTTTTCATATGTACCCCGTCATGCGTAACCTAAGGTAAACCTGAACTACCCTACACCTTTCAGTTGTTTTCAACCAACAGGCAGGACAGTTGTACACAGGCTCGCAGCGGCCACAGGAACAGGGTAAGTTATAGATATACATGTATATGTACAACAATCATACTTTTCTAACATATATCACTGATCTATACAGTATGCGATGGTCAAAACATATCAAGTAAATGTTTACGTTTCAACATTCAGTGATACGGAACCTTTGCTTTCGGGATATTTGTTAACTTCTGTTTAGGATCCACGTAATGGTCTGATTAGGTGTGACACTGCATTTGTTGAGCAGAAGGGTCTTGACTCCCCACAACAATCAGGTCCACCTTTTTTCGATCAAGGCGTTGTTTATTATAAAGGAAACTATGTATCTATCGAACACGGTTATTACGAATTAACGGATATTTCGAACTGTTTTTGTGTCCTGACCTCTTTCTGTATATACTTCGGTGTAAACGTGTATAACGAACTGCGGTTATCGTGAACTAATAATAATAATAATAACTGTCTCGCCCCTTTTGGCCAGCAACGTGATTGGCAAGATTCAGGAAAAGCATGCTAAATATGCAGACCTCGCCTTTGAAATGTCTCGCTTGCATCCCAAGTACACTGTCGTCAGGCTCCCCATTGTTCTTGGTGCCCTTGGTTTGGTACCTCCTGATCTCTGGGCGCAGATCAGGAGAGAGCCCGGGTTCCCCACAGGAAGCACAGCCCTTCTGACACTCTGGGTAATGCACAAGGCTACACACTCTCCGTAAAGTTCTTGGTGGGTTCGACTAGGCAGCGTTTCCTGGGAGAAGTACTATTCCCTGTCTGTGCTGCGTGTAGAGGGACAAGGACCCTGAGCTGATGATGAGTCTTACCATCCTGACTGTACCAGGATCACCCGATCCTCCTGCTGCATACTATCTTTAATCCGTAAAACATAATAATAATAATGACTTATCCCACCGGGTACCCATTTTTCTGTTGGATGAACAGACGCAATTTCGAGCAAACTCACTTGCCAAAGGTGAGACCACATGTATCACATGTGTTTCGTTTGTGGGGAAGAACTGAAGTCCTAGAAACTTTTTTGACCTTGAGGCAAGCTGCCAAACACGGTCACCCATCCAAGGATTCTCCGCGCCCAACGTTGCTTAACTTCACCTGATTTCTGACCGGAGCTTTATGCACGGGGCACACACACCATACACAACTAATATTAATGGCCCGTTTTCTTCGTTGCAAACGTGGGGAAGGTATATCTTACTACTGATCTTATTTAGCTTCAAATGGATAGGTTGTAGAGTATTCCCAGAAGTGATATATTTGTACGCTGTCGCTGCATCTCGGCAAAAGATAAATGTTCATTGACGTGCGCTTTACCTAACCTCAGTAGCAATATTTGGAAACGTTTAATTTGTTTTGGTGACACAGATAAATAATGTTCGAAGCCTATCAAATCTGTTAGATGTGCATCTTTCTTCAATTTAATACATATACGTACACATGTAGAACGGTACATCAGTACACACTTGTCAAAACACGATCAAATGTAAACATCCAATCTGGTAATCGTTAACATCTTATACATACTTGTTGCATAAACTAGTTCTGTTAGCGTTTATTTCCTTATAAAGAGCTAACTGTTGTAATAACACATGTATTTCTGAGTGGCATGTGTTTCGGTTGTCTTTGCATAATATGGAGACAGAGAGACACGAGTGAAGTTTTACAGAAAAAGACATATTACCTTTTCAACGGATAATATAATAAATGCATTTGACAGGGGAGTTGGAAATCACCCAAACACGTTTAGGATAGGTGTAGTTATCTATATCTACATTTCTCATAAGAATTTTCAATTCTTTATCAGTCATCTATTTTATGGCATTGCTAGTGATAAAAATACCTCTTGAACTCAATAGATATCAGTACTATAACAACTTTGGGTGATCAATTCTTTTCATACACCGTATATGTAGCATCGGTTTATAAGAATTCATAAATCCATCCATCCATCCATCCATCCATCCATCCATCCATCCATCGATCCATCGATCCATCCATCCATCCATCCACTCATCCATCCATCCATCCATCCATCCACCAACCTATCTATCCATCAATCCATAAGAATCTGTGGGTACATATTAACCCATTTACTATCTGTGGAATATCTTCATTATATACTTTCCTTATTGTAAAACGCTAGATGTATAAAACAGGCAGGATATCGTAAACTTAAGAATTCGAAGGGAGTCATTTATATGGTCAAAGGTGTTCGTCTTGTAATCTGTGCTTGCGTGTAACCAAGTTGCCATATCCCAGGTGGTATTTGAAAATGAACAAACGCTGAAGAAATGGGCGAATGTGACTTGAGAAAACGTCAGGTTAATATCTCATATCCCCAATAAAGTGAAATGTAAATATAGCATTTAAGTTAGACGTTGATTATCTATATATGAATATACACTAAACGCCAAAAGAAACGTTACCCTCCTACCTTTATGAATTACTTAAAAACTATCAAAGATATGTTAGAAGGTATTAGTTTACAAGAAAGCTTAACAACACAGCTTTATGCAAATCACGAAAGAAAAGTCTCATATGCATTCATATTTATGTGAAATGCATATTTTTCAGACAAGTTAAATTGTCCTATAATCGTCCATGCCGAACTAAACTAATAACAGTGATTTCGATGTCGAAAAGAAAGGTTGAAGTAATATTTTGCTTTGGGACAAAGATAAACCACTTAAAGTCACCATTTGTCAACTATTTATGCAATAAACAACCGTTGTAGAGTGTGTAAAATTGTAAAATAATCATTAGTATGATTTCAACCTTCAAAAACATTTTCTGCTGATTTTGCATAAGTGAAAACAAGTCTTTGATATTGTGAAAAAATGTTAAGGAACATCTAAAATTATCTTTGTTAACATTTTTGCTTCCAGAGTAACATTTTTCCATTTCTGTTTACACATAGCAATATCAATCGCCATAACGCAGCAATATTCAAGTAGTATTTGAATCCATTTCACATGTAGAATGATTCTATAGGGTATGATTCTATGAGCCTAGAATACATGATATGATACACAAGTACGAGAAATATGCCACGATTAACAGCTGAAGAGAGAGAAAGAGCCATTGGGATGGTGCAGATGCATGTGGGTCGACATGCAATGCTGTTGCCAACGCCCTCGCATGCCACCGTATCACGGTTATACGACTTATTCAGGGCTTCAGACAGACTGGGGTGACCGTAGACAGACCAAGAAGTGGACGTCCACGCATCATAACGCCAGCTGAAGATAGGTACCTCCGTCCTTAATTAAGGAGGGTAACGTTTCTTTTGGCGTTTAGTGTATATTGCTACGCATTGACTACCAGAAAGTCTGAAATTAACAGGGAATCAGTCCTCAAGAGAAATAGGTGTGAAAAATAGCACACCACTCCCCAGAAATTACATAACAGTGAAATACGTTTGGAAAGCCAAAACATCAAAGTCAGAGAAAATACAACACTATTCAGTGGTTACATGCTGTGAAGACGGACGGACTTGCTTCTCACACGAAACAAACACACCTGTGATAATATTGGGGGCTGTTTTTGCGAGTACTTACTTGATGATTTGAGGGTTAATAATGACACAATAAATGCGTGGATTAAACCGGTCGTTTGTTTTGACTACCAAAATACCGTGAGGTTCACACATTGAACAATAACTGTTGTCGCTGGCTGATGAAGGGTCTTGTTACAGACAGGTGGCAGCATCGCAGCCAGTTAGTTTAGAAACCCCTATATAAACAACGCCTAGTTCGTTTCTCTTGTTGTGCTAAATTGACAGAACGTTTGGGTTTTACTCCTGGTGTAGTGACCCGGACACCTCTCTACAAAAGAACAGCCGGACACAAGTGACGAGTGACGTTAGGATCAACTTCGGTAAGTACTAAGTAGCTCAGACCTCCCGGTTTCATTTCTCGTTATGGCTGGCCAGCAGTTAAGTGCATGTTTGACAGGATTGGAGGGACAAACATCATGACAATTAGCCAACCTGTCGACAACTCTGGGAGGGGATAGCACAGACCATAAAATCTTTTGAGGGAGAACCCACTGAAACGTATGACGTGCACGTGGTTAAAGTCAGTTTGAGATCATGTGAAGTAAAAATAGTCACGGTAGTGTTCAAGACAATACAGCGGTATACCTAAATATGTAGACTAACAACTAGTCTCTCATAGTAAAAAAATATAATATAATGAAAAGGAGCCCTGAGACTTTCTCGCTTTTTCTGAACTTAAGGAAATCTAGACTTGCCACATTTTCTTGACTTGCGTGGGCTTTCTTGGATATATTTGCTTCAGGGTCTGCACGACAGACTACTAAATATGTAGTGGCTTATAAGGGCTCGATAAAAAGAAAAAAAACCTAAAAGGCAATTGAGGGGATACAAGAATATAATAGGGATGGAAAATGGAAAATATGTAAAAGAGAACATATTGTTAAGAAATGATGATACCCATTGAGGGTCATTGCTGTTTCACCCGTGAAGATGCAGTTTATAATTGATCATCAGTAACCCACGCTTGTCGTAAGAGGCGACTGACGGAATCGGGTGGTCAGGTTAGATGGCTTGAGTTTGACACATGTTATCGTATCCCAGTGGCGTAGATGGATGCTCATGTTGTTGATCACTGGATTGTCTGGTCCATACTTAATGTTTTACAGACAGCCGCCTTATAGCTGAAATATTGCTGAGTGCGGCGTAAAACTTAATTCACGCACTCATTGTTGTTTCTGTTGCGACGCCTCAACAAAGCTTATATTTTAGTTAGATATTGCACAATAAGCAGGTGAAGTACACATTGTAACTGGAAGGAAGGTACACACAAATGGAAACTAGCTATGGTGTCGATAGTATTGTACAGACAGACAAGAAAGAGAAAGTTTAACTAACAACATACAAACGACATAAAACGTGTACACCTTGAATGCCATTAAGAAGCTTATTCTCAATGATAAGTATTTGGTCGCGGATAGCGATATAGGCGTACGGACATGATAACAAAAACACTCACTTATTGTATGAC